CAAAAATAAACGAAATATTGAAGCATTACTTTAATTAAATGTCTAGTAAGATGAAAACATTATCAAGTAATGCACAAAATTACAACAGATGTTCTATACTTTTTATTAATAACTAATTTGAAGAAAAAAAAAATTTGCATTAAAATAATGTTTTTTATATAAAGATAATGTGTGTAACATAATTCAGCAGCACTTGTTTTTCAGATTACACTCGCGACGTTGGTAAAGTTAAATTGGGTGAAAGAAGAATCGAGGTTTAGATAAGTTTACGGCCAAACAAGAGTAGATAAGAGACAAACATACAATATACAAAGAGATCGGGATAAATATAGTGGCGGAAGCTTTTGCCATAGATAAATTTGTTGAGGCGAAAGTACCTTGTCGGAGATTACAGGGATAGGTTTTCTACTCGACAATTCATTTATCTTATTTTCATTCGGTGTGTACAGATGGATAAACCGCGTGTGTAGAAGCACGCGCAACATCCGGGTACTCGAAAGCATCTACACTTTATAGATTTTTACTAATAGGAATCAAATGTTTGTATTCACGTTGAAATATATTATGTAATATTGTTTGTTATAGATAATATAAGTACAAAAAGGTGCCTACTAACATGCAATGTGCAATGGTAGATGCGGCAATGCGACGGTAGAAGCATTTGCAGACGCATTCGAATGAACCCTTTGCCGTTATATAATATTAGCTTAACTAGTCGTGGCTGATGTGTGTGTGTGTGGGTGGGCCAGGACGGCGCCATTATGCAAACCGCACACGGCGCCGTCTAAATAAATGGGGTTTGTGCAAATTTTACGCTGCATCGCAAATTATTCAGTTGAAAACTCAGGTCTGCGCATAATACCTGCAGACGCCTACAAGAAATGTTTCTGTATACATACAAACATTGCTTTTCATATTTATTCATCTGACTTTACGCAATTCAGATGAAACAACATTGTTCCTAATAATATTAAACATGAAGAATACTACTCCATAAAGTATAAATTATCCAGAATTTACATACATATTAATAATAATGGTATTTGTACAACTTGTGTGTATGTTACTACAAAGTATCCCATATTCGGAGTATAAACGATTTTGTTTGCAAAGTTTGGTTCAATTTTGTTTACTGCTTCCCCATGTACAATTTTGAAAGTAAATTTACAACTGATAAATGTCTTCATTCATGCAAATAATTGCATTTTTACCCCATTTTGGCGTAATTTATCTCGATTTTCCCACCCCTAGCTTAAAGTGTATTAAATGAATAGACTTGTCATAAGCTTAAGATTTTACTTAAAACGCAATTAGTGCGGATTCACTATAGTCCGGTTTTAAAATTTCAAAACAAACTAGATCCTAATTAATCAAAATAAATACTAAAAAAAGTCAAGAAGTTTCTTTTTATACTGGTTATTTTTATGTAATTTTAAAAACTTCGATTACTCTATTATTTATATTATGTAATAAAACTTTTTTTGAAAAACATTAAACACCATTATGACAATATATTAGTAAATGAATTGTTTTTGTGTTTTTTTTTTTATTAAATTGATCTGGTTTGTTAGGGACTGCAGTTATTATTTTATTATTTACGAAGAAGCTGGAGTTTCTCGAGTCCCTGTGCACCTTGTTTGCCTTTGGTTTTGCTCGGCTTTCCAAGGAAAGTAATCCTCTGCGGACTAAGTCAAGAAGTTTTCGCTTCTATTTCTTTCCTCATTGTCCCACGTAAGCAAAACTTTAAAAGCACTAGAATACATATAGAGTATTCTATTCGAGACAAAGAAGTAAAAAAAAAGCTACTTTACTTTTTTGCATAAGAACAATCCAAGTTTTAATCATAAATTCATCAAGAAAACAAAGCCAGTTACAATTCAGAAAACAAAATGTACATAAGTTAACCATTCACTAGTTTACTATTCTATATTTAATGCAAATAGTAAATTAGTGTAAATACAAGAAAGTGGATGCATTTTTCATCAAGAAACGCAAATGCATTTATATAACTGTATGTGCACTCTACGTGTGTACTCTCTCATGTTTGCATGTCACGAGTATAATGCAAACGTGAGATTTGGTAAGCAGCATTTTACATCAAATATTTAATATTTTACCTCAGAAGCACAAACATGCGCTGATATTATCATACAATTATATATACATTTATATTATGCGCATTAAATTAATATTGAATTAAAAAAATATGTGTTAAGTAAATTTACAAACTTGGAATTAACTAAATTAGTTGTAGTGCATGACTAATTGGAACATCTCATCTCTGGATGTTAGACAATAAAACGATTATTTTCGTACTAATAAGGTGAAAATATATTTAAAATAATAATCAACATAATTATATTATTATAACATGAAATATTTATGATGTTAACTAGCGTAAAAAGGATTGTCAGGTGTGGGGTTCGAACCCACGCTCCCAATCGGGAACCAGAGCTTAAATCTGGCGCCTTAGACCGCTCGGCCAACCTGACATATGAAACATCCTTGAAGATTCTATTTAATACTCACAACATAAATAAATGTTAAGACAATCATTTTTCTATTTATATTAATAACAATAATTAGTCATCAATAATGTACTTTTGTGTTTCGAATAAATAGAAGATATCGTAATTATTTTTGTAGCTTGTTCGCAATTCATATATGATTTTCATAGATATTTTAAATTAATTGGATCAAGAGGTCATCAATCAGTTGAAATCGTATCTACAATGATTAGAGATTTACAAAATATTGTAATTTAGAACATATTTACACAAACTTTTTATTTCTACAATGATATTTATCTATTTCTTATCATTCATTAAAATAACCTTTAACATATTTACAATTATAAATTAATAGGTTACAAGATGTTACAGAACATCCTTGATTAAAAAAAATTCTAAACAACAGGTTGACGAATTGGGGTATATTACCCCAAAGAGGATAAAAACAATGACAAATTATATTTATCAATTTGTAAACAAATTCTATTTATTCACATGAAAACAACTTTTATCATCTTTTATTCTTATTAATTAAAAAACGATATATGATAATTTGCATATGAAATGTAACTTGTAAATGAAAAAGTAAACATCTTAACCTCAAGTAAAGATGTATTATGAGAAAAATAAACTGTGTGATATATAGAAGTTCGTAAAGGCACGTAACTCTTATAATCTAAACCCTGGCTAACTTGTTGCTATTACAAAGTTGTGTCACGTTCAAACTCATGACATTGCAAAAGTGAATTTCTTCAACAGTAACCAAAAACTGTTTGTCAGGTGTGGGGTTCGAACCCACGCTCCCAATCGGGAACCAGAGCTTAAATCTGGCGCCTTAGACCGCTCGGCCAACCTGACTTGAACGTTATCCTTAAATGTAACATTAAGTAATGAAAGATTAATATACATTTATCATTACAGGATTTCTTTTAATATATTTCTTTTTTGTTTATTAATTATAAAAAAATACATATTGAGATAAAAAAAAAACTTATTTTCTATCTGATTAAGAAATTTAACATAAGGGTTTGAGCATTCTGTATAATGTCGTGTCCCAGGGATGGATTTTTGGATACTGTGGGATATTTTCTTCGGTTGTCTGTTGTGGAACCTCTGGTTTGGTTATTTTACGTATAAATTTAAGTAATAAGGAATTTCAGGAATAAGGCACGGTTTTGATAAGACGCTTTGCTTCAGATCATTGCTCCTGTACTGATTCTGCCAATTCTGTATTTTGGTTCTGAGATAAAAATATGAGCGATGTTCTTATCAGAAATTGGTTTCGATTGAGTTCTCAGTTGAAAATAGGAAGGAATGTTATAATCGGTCTTACGGTGGATGTTCCTTTATGCTTATGTATATGTTTATATACGCCATGGATGTCTCTAATTCGTTAATACACTATATTAACAATAATAATTTTAATAATAACGGTAGGATACAACAATAATTGAAATTTTAATATTTCTATAACATCATGAGTTAGTAAATAAATATTATTGCAGTTCAACGTACATATATTTTGAAATATAATAAATATTGAAGTTATTTAGATTTATTTCGAAATTCAATCGAACGTCCTTTTGTTTACACTGTTAACTTGGATGCTCCGCGCCTGAAATACAAAATCGAATAAAATAATGCAAAGCTCTCAGACAATACATTTTTTCACTTTGCCTCTCTCTTTCTCGCATATAAGCTTCAATTTCGCAAAGCTTTTCAAAAGTTGTTTGTCAATATAAAGATTCCCGAGTCGCTCATGCGGATGATCGATTTCTCACTTACACAGTGGCATCTCTTTTATTGTACTTTGGATACCCCTTACAGTAGATGAAAGGAAATTCATGTCTGCTTTAAAAAAAAAAAGAAAGTACGCTGGAAAAGAGACGCGTACTGGCGATAACTCAGAGCGGAAATAATGATGTAATGGGGAAGAGCGATCAAGTTTAAATGAACGCAAAGTTTGTTGGTGTTGCTGGCGATAAGACGTCGCTAATGCCGACGAAAAGAAAATAGAAAATAAGCAATGCATTTATCACGTGCCCAAGTTGTAAACTCTGGAATGAAGAGAAGAGTGGATGGAGATGCAGTAAGTTTAAAGTGTGTTAACAAAAAAAAAATGAAAGCCCACAGGCATGATCCAATTGTACAAATGGGGAAACGTGTACTCTCGACTTTTCAACTTTCCCCTCGGAACTTGCATCTTCCACGACGCGCAAGCCGTGGACTTCAATTACCATGAATAAAACATTCCGTCCGAATGCGATCCTCGCAGCAAATTGGTGACCACCGTTCGACGTGCAACGAAGCATTAAACTTAATCTCGAACTTATAGAAACGTTATTCGTAATGGTTCGGTTTAAAGTCATTCATAATGTGCTTATTCTTACATTACACGCATCAATTCTATAAATTATTAAACTTATCACAGTTACTATTATTATTTACTCACATTATACAATATATTTACCATTATTTTTATTGTTGCAGCTAAACTAGACGGCGTAAAGACTTACATGAGGATGCGACGGGTTCCGAACCATTTGCAGGTCAAAGTGATCAAATGGTTCGACTACCTGTGGCTCACGCAGAAATGCTCGGATGAAGAACGGGCCGTCTCGTGCCTTCCTGACAAATTAAAGGCAGAGATAGCCATCAATGTCCATCTGGATACGCTGAAGCGGGTCGAGATCTTCCAGAACACCGAAGCTGGCTTCCTTTGCGAACTCGTCCTTCGTCTCAGGCCGGTCCTCTTTTCACCTGGGGATTACATTTGTAGAAAAGGTATATATTTCTTTTTCCTAAACCAATACATAATCTTACAACCCAATAAACATGATCATAAATAAATATACAAAAGTATTTATGTTATAGTTTCTTAGCTTATTATAAATATTTAATAAAAAAAAAAACTATAGGCCATGGTTATATGCAATAGGGATGCCAACATATACAAAAAAAATAGTGCCAACGTGAACATTAAATAACTTCTGTTTTTTATTATATTGAAACTCTAAATCTAATCTTAAATAATTCAAAAATCCAATACGATATAATATAAATTGGCTACAAACATAATAAATAATTAAGAAACGGATTTTTTTTTTCATAAATAAATAAATTGACAGTAGTTCCATTTTACGTTACTTTAGAGATGATATAAATAAATTTATATTTCAATATCAGTGTATGTGAAGAAACAAGATTTCATATTTGCAGATTGAAGATATACGGTGAGGATTTGGTATTGGAGTAGTAAATAACTGAAATAATTGTAAACGTCATCATTATCATTAGGAATGTATGTTCAGAGAATGAAGGCGAAAGCCTCGTATTAGTGCTGTAATGAGTGCGTATCCATAAATTATGTGCGCGCGTGTGATACGTCGGAAATAGTAGGTAGGAGGTGTCTTAGAAACTGGCAGTGGAGAAAATGTAAGTGGAATCCCAGCATCCCCGTCGCCCTTCAGCTTCCACCCATCACATCACAGTGATAATGTTGTAAAGGAAATAGTTGTGGGAACTAACTTTCGCATACCATTAAGACGGTAACTGCTCAACTTATCACTTTAATCTAAATATCAAAACTTCGCACGGCATCAACGCGAATTTGTCAGTTCCGAAATTACTGCAACGCCAAAGTCTGTTTCATTTTAATGGCACCAACTATCATTACATCATTATTCCTATTAATCCCTGCTCGGTTCTAATTTGTACGTAACGATCCATAAAATTAACATCGACGTTATAGAATTGTTTAAAAAGGAAGACGTACGTACGCTTTAAGCTATTACTTTCTATCGCTGCCATCTGTTGAGTTAATGCTGGCTTTAATTACGCGATACTCACCAAATTTTATTTAAAAGTATTGATGCAACAATGCATGGTAATTATAATGGTTGCTCTTACATAGAACGCGTCAAGTCACTTGAAAAGTACAGCGTATTGTTCAATATATTACGAATCATGAATTTAGTATTATTACAATATGCAAGAGCTGAGACAAAGTTGATTTTTCGAATCTTTTCTGCTAATTGTATCCATTTCACCAAAATCTAAATGTATCAAAACTGTAACAAGTGTACACGTTTCTCTTTACCTCAATTTCTGCATCACTTCGCAAATAACATCCAGCAAATTTTGCAGAGCATCTTGAAAAGCTTCATCCAATTTCTGTAAATCCATCACATCTTGCACCAATATTTGCACTTGAATGCTTTCCACCTGCGCCAATCTCATCCATATATTTTTCCAGAAAATAATCCATTTCCTTCCAAACCTGATGATTTTCTAGAACACGATTTTTTGGTTTTACTCGCAAACATTTCAGCCCAATTTTTACAATATTTAAAATGTTAAAATGTTTTATATTTTATGAATATTTAAAAATAAAATCACATAAAAAAAAGAATAATTAAATTATTAAATTCCGTGAAATAATTGAATGTTATTGAATATAGCATTAATTTAGTTTGTTAGTTATTCTATATAAATACGCATTAAAAAAAAAGATATTGTACATGCAAAAACGCATGCAGATATTTATTAAATGTATTTGTATATGAAAACCGATACTGGGACGTATGCAATGTAATTGTGAATTTTTAATAATAATGTTTGTTATCGGTATGAATGGTGGAAACAACGGGAATATATATTGATCCCATGTTTCGAATGAAAATGGGAAAAAAGTAAAATAAAATAACCAAAAAATCCTCCACTGATGTATTATTGTTCGTCGACGGTATTCATAAATTCTCCGAACGTTGGGTTTGCAAAAAAATAAATAAACCATTCGTCATTGGTACATGGTAAATATTGATATACAGATTAGCCAACCAATAAATATGTCTGTTTAATCATTACAATAAGGCCACTTATTTCTAATTTTCACGCGGTTTTATCAACTATAGATTTTCAAAGAATTTAAACATTTCTTTATAAACTGATATTTAATTTGATACAATTTAGTACAATTAAGTACATGACATTCCAATATAATCAACGAAAATTTGTATAAAAACTCGAAACTCGTAAACAAAATCACTACTGTATGTTGGATCTCAAACACAATTGCGAATTTTAGACTGAATGAATAGGGATGATGATTATCAAAAGCAACATTTCAGAAAATGATAATAAACCATAATTCACAGCTTATAATTTTAAAACATGTTTCCAGAATTTACTAAATAAAAGCTTGTAATTATTGAAATGTTATACCTCGGTTAATGTTACCTCTGGCAACGAAACCACGATATTAACATAAAAAATATACTATTACATAATACCGACAAAATATGGTCAGAAATTGTTTTAAAAGAAGAAAAAAGAAACTTAGAAGTTAGAAATGAAATTATCCCAATGATTCAATCAATAGATTTCGAAAATATCTATTACAATGTGGAGATGTTGGTTTTTCAGTAAAAATTTAGAAAAATTTGTTAACATTTGAAAAATAAGAAAATGTAGATGAAATTAAGGAAGATTGTTTAATCTGGAACGAATTAATTCATCTTATATTTTATAAAATTAAAAAAATGTCTGTTACTTCTTATTGTTGATTTAATATGTATGTAATTTGTCTTTTTTTCTTGTTTCAGGCGAGGTGGGAAAAGAGATGTACATAGTGAATCGAGGTCGGTTACAGGTGGTAGCTGATAACGGGAGAACCGTTCTAGCTACCTTAAAGGCAGGTAGTTACTTCGGTGAAATATCAATCCTAAACATGGGCACAGCAGGTAAACACCTTGGTAAATATCCGCAGGCAAGCCCATTGGTGGTTAAAGAGAAAACAAGATATACTTATACTTCTTATATCTCCATATTTTCTGGATGAACTTACTTCAATATAACCTCCACCACCGCCTTGCATGCGTTGATTGGCTTACTTCTGAAAAAAAAAATAAGCAACAAAAAAAAAACAAATTTCCAAAATTAAATCCATCGTACTAATAACTAAACAAAACAATTGAAAGCAAATAATAACACACAGCGCTAAATAATACCCAAAAAAAAAATAAACAAACGCATCCCGCTACTATATATATATATTCTAAATGTAATTGATATATTTGTTTTATTTGATTGTTTCTGTTCGCTTCATTGATTTCCACACTGTGTATTGGCATGCAAACGTTTTATGATTTCCTATATCAAGCAAATTCAATTGCGTAATAAATTTACTACAAACGAAAACAATTATCAGCTGCAGTTTAAAAAAAAACACACAAAACAAATAATATATTTAGATTTAAATAATAATGCACGATAGGAGCAATTAATAAAGCGCACGTTCATTTATCATGCACATATGTACGTGCTTCGATGCGTGTAGACTCGCAGAGATTTTATGAAATTGATAATTAATCAGGTCGCTTGTTTATGTTGGAATTTGAAAGTTTATTAGGGGGTTGGGGAGGAGGAGGGTATTAATACTATCGAAAACTGCTGTTGACATGCGAAATTAGTTCTGTCCGATCGCCCCCAAGAATAATTTATTGAAAATCGCAACGAGAATTCAATTACATGCACGAATTTTAACCGCGGATCGTACACATCCAATCACGCCGCGCTTAATTATATTCACTACGGAACTATAGGTTTTAGCTCAACTCTAATCGGTATATTTTTTTTCTCTCTCTCCATTTTCGCTGTTTCGATATTGATAACATTCGGTCATGCAAAATGTGACAATCAATATTTCAAATGTTACGTCAAATTCCTTTTGGTTTCTCTTTGTTAATGTTAAATATATTGTTCATGCGTAAAAAAGTATACTATTCTATGTAAAAATCTTCAGATAATATCGAATTTATAATCCGGCTGAAAAATGAAATTTAACAATAATTTGCATATTTGTCAAGTAAATAACTTTTCAATTGTTTTAACTTTTATATATTGTTAATTTATTTGTAAATATTAATTTATTTTCTTTCTATTGAATTTTTCCATTTTTATATAAAAATTATCATGTTTTGAGTATAAGAAAAATTGGATCTTTGTATATACTGAAAAATTGACAATTTTGATCAAATTTATAGCCGAATTACCAGGTTTCAGAAGTTCAAATTTTCAACTTTGTAAATATTACGGATCTGCCATCTACTGGTATGCTTATCAACATCCACAAACTTGATTTACATAAAATAAGATATTTTCAGTAACAAACATTAGTTTCTATTATAAATATAGTAGTACCTCGCATAGTGCGGTTAAATCAGTACAGATACACTATAGTATGGTTAAAAACGTTTCAAAACATACTAATTTTTATTTAAGCAAAATAAGAACTTTGTAACTTTTTGTAAGCTTTTAAATTCTTCAATTAGTCCAGTTTCAAACATTAAGGGATATATTCTGACCCAAGGTATATTTAATACAATAAAATATATAGATGTCAATATTTAATGAAATGATTAAATCTAAAAATTGAAGAAATGTGTATAGATATAATATATCTTGATAATACTAATTACATAATGTGTTTATCACATAACTATAGATTTAAATCTCCACTTATTACTATTCTGATATTCTTCGCCATCCACCTTTCCTCTCCAACTCAACATCTCTTATCCCGCCCGATACGCTATCTCATCTCATACACACGTACCCTCATTCATTTCGCTCGATGCATCTGCCACTGACATTCAACCTCTTTCACGCAAACCTAATTTATCTTCAGTTCGTGTATTCATTTACGATTTCGCTTTGCTTTTAGACACATGCATGCATCTCATATAATTCCATCATCAATTATTTTCTTTAACAACAATAATTATTATGAAATTTTGAAGAAAACCTTTTCAAATTTATAACTCAATCTCAATTAATATCTTGCATAATACTTACATTACAAAATAATATTCTAGAATATATTTTTCTTTAAAAGATAGCAGAATATATGTATTAAGTATGAAACATGTATTCATTTACGTTTCTCCTTAACAGCTTTCCCGGTATATATGATAATAATTACGTAACTAATGAATTAGTTTTTTTTTTTTAATTAATAAATTCAAAGTAATTGTGTATAAACCTACATATTTCTTAAACGTTAAAGTACATCAGGCAAGGGTAATCATTTCTAGTTCTGGGGCTAAATTTTTATTAAGTATTTCGCCCGAAAACAGCTACAAAGGATATGTGATTCTTTCCTAAAATAATGTTTTTTTTTTAACTAAAAGTATGTATCTTTTTAACAAGAATGATGTAATGCGACCTAATGGTGGTTCCTTCAAAAAAAAATCATTTTCCGTAAATCGAGCGCATCCTTTAGCCGTGGCCTCAATCGCTTCGCGACATTTGGTCTCAAGAGATGGACGAGTTTGAAGTTAAAAATAAGATTTATACAGAAATCGATATTCACGCAGAACATGTGCGAAACATGGTACGCGCTTGTGCGCTACGGCTTCATTTAAATAATTCATATTTTCGTAATGGCTTAAATGCATCGCATGAATCGCACGTAATTGCAAGATAATAGTATTACGTCCTTTATCCACGGACAGAACTTCCATGCATTTAATAGCTAGTTTGGCCATCAAATATATGGATTATTCGTGTTCACGGTGAAACTCCTTCCATTTTCATTTGATATACCGAATGTTATAAAAAACGTTATACATTGTTCTAAACCAGATGATTAATTAATTTTCAGAAATTATTCATTAATTATTATATATTTATCTATATATATACACTGCATATTTCTGTGAGTGAGGACGTGGATGAAATTATTCGCGGGGTAGTTATGCGGAGAAATAAACTCTGGCTCTGGGCCAAATATTCTCGTCAGATTCAGAATCATGTATGAATTTAAGCAATGCGGATACTGACTTTACCGCCCTTTGCGCAACGAATTTTCTAATTTTCCTTTATACACATTTCTTAAAATTTACTTTTCTACTTCACTGAATTCATATCTCTTTGATTTAGTTAAATATAACATGAACATATCTACATATTACACGATTTATTTATATTTGTACATTTTATAACTTTTTTTTTTCAATTTTCAATAAATTTCTTGTATATTATAGATTTTAACTATTGGATTGGCAAGAAAGTAATTTCGGTTTTCACAAATAGATAGGATTATATTAGTTTTGATGGATTTATAATTTGAACGCTAATGAGGCTAACAAAGAGAAATGTAAAGTGTATGACTTTAATTGTTGCAAAATGACCAGAATTTGCAAAATTTATTCTACGAAAACAATGAAAATCCTCACACATCTTTGGTAATTCGTGGAAAATTATTGGAGCTTAGTTCGGAACATAGATTACCATTTATTTCAAAGTTTTCAAAACTCTTTGAGTGGTTAAACTTTCACTAATTATGATGACCTGAAATTGCACTTAGTTCAGTTTTTTTTTGCTGATAAGGACAAAAAGTTCTGTGAGCGCAGAATCATGATGTTTTCAGTAGGATCATCGAACAAAATGGAAAATATATAATTGATTTATTTTCATCGTTTGTATATAAAAAATTAATTTAATTTCACACTAAAAAACCGAAATTACTTTCTTGCCGTCCCAATACAAATTTGTCTAACTAAATAATTCAAATTTAATTAAAATTATATAACAATTTTGTAATTTTATATTTATAATCTTTATAATTTATTTGTGTTATATGTTATTGATATGGCGTAAATGATGATAATATAGAATATGTATTATCATCATTTCATTCAAAATATCAAAAAATCAGCGTGTTTGTATTTTGCAAAAGTATTTTCAAATAGCTATGCAGTAGTCGTTTGAATGCGTCATGTCAATCGTGAATGGAGCAAATGCACCGTTTGATTCCACACAAAGAACGTCTACATTCCACATGGAATGGAAATAATCCTGCGCTTAAACCTCCCTCAATTTGACCATTTCAATTAAAAACTTCAAAGACAATGCGACTTGCACGGAACTAACATGAATTGAAACATTATTTTAATGAATTGTGTAAAGCGAAGATTGCTCATCCTCCCACTAAGCATCATCATCATTATGCATACAGTTCCAAGCGTTAAACTGTAGCGCGTATCCTCAGAAAGTTTTTTAAAAAAAATATGGCAATTTTAATCACCGCAGCTTGTTGCATAACACGGAGATTAATGCCGACCCTCTGCACTTTTCACTTTCATATTGTCACGTACACGGTATAAAAGTATGAAGTATTAATCAGTTCACGAGTTTATGTAAATTTCAGTCTTGATGTGAACGAACTCGGACGTTCGTGACTGCACTGATTCACGCTATGTTCTATATAAAATATATAAATTACAAGAAGAAAAAAATCCATCTACTTTAACCCGACAATTCGCTGTTATTTACAACATCTACTTTATGAAGAAAGAATAATTTATTTTAATTAATATTTAATCCACTAGCTTTTCCATAGCTTAACACTCTTTTTTTGTACAATACAAATGATGTTATTTTGGCACATGTTTAGTACTCGATAAGACGAATATACATCATACATTTGAACCATGACAACCATCGGCAGGTGGATCATCTAGCACACGTTTCCCACGTAGTCAACTCGAGTTGAATATCCTAGATACGTTCAAAAGTCGGGCTTGATAAACGGTTTACTGCCAGTACATCATTCAGAAAAGATGCAGACGTCTTTACTATTATTAACATTGAGTCTTGCATTTACAATTCAACAATAAGAATCGTATTAGACTTATTACATAAGTCATTATTCCTGCAATTTAACATTATGAAATTAAACGGTTTCATTTTCATTTAATTTTTGATAATTTATCATTGCTTAAAGTTTCAACTTAAGTTTTATCTGAGTTTGTTACACAAAAAATATGTGCAAACAATAATTAAATTATTTTTTAAGAATTCTCTTGAATTAAGCGAAAGACTTAAGAACAGTAGTTTTTGAAATAGTTTGTTTTTAAATAAATAAATATGTATATTTTCCTAATTTGAAATCCTAATTCAAACAAATGTTCTTACTTAAGTATATTATATAATTTTGAACCACCAAGGGATTTATACACTTCTTATAACTTTTTTTTGTTTGTTGTTTTTCCCTTTGGGATGGAAACTCGAAACCGGAACTTCTTCCCCAATTCACCACTGTTTATTTTCATCTGCACGTGCAAAAAATTCACAGTTTATCAAAAACTTTCACGATTGCTTTATTATCTCTTCTATCAGTAATAAGTTAAATCAAGTGTATCAATAGCATTTCGGTTCTATGCTTTACGTGACGCACAAACTAAATGGGTCGCAAAAACAGTAAATTAGATCCTTCAGATCGTAATATTAAAAAAAAAAACATATAAATTTAAAAATAAACTCAATATACATTTCGATTTACGTGTCTGTTAAGTTTATGATGTTAATTGAATTTTCACAATGAATACTGAAGCTGGCAACGATTCATATCTGCTAAACATAAGTTTCAAACTAAATTAGAATAGTTTTGAAGTTTGCTAGCTTTGGTATTACGAAAATGTGACAGATGCAAAGTTAGTTCTTTGGCTTATGCAACGTAAAACTAATATATCACATTATTAAATTTAAATTACGGAAGAGACGAATGCCCAATTTTATTTTGAATATATCTCATTTTATAACTAATATATCTCATATAAATAAGTGTTTAGAATAGTTTTTAAGAATTGTTGATGACGACGTGAACATATCTGATACTTGCTTTTCCGGATTTGAAACTTTCTTTTATTCATCCGAAAGTGATGACTACCACTTGAAACTCAATAATTTATAAGAAAGCTCAATCTGCTTCGTTTCTATCATTTACCGATAAATTTAATGTTAATTATCTTTCTATTTTGAATATATCCGTGCATCCTACTGACAATTGATTCATATCTGTTGAACATGAGTTTCAAACTAAATTTGGAAAGTGTACAAAAGTTATTGTTGCGAAAACGTAATGGATGGAAAGTTAATTACTTGCTTTTCACGACGTGAAAATAATTAAATTACATAAAACAAAATTAAACTACCAACTTTCTCAATTTAACATAACGAATTCTATATAATTTTGAAACGTGTTTTTTTTTGTCAATGTTAATTATCCTTCTAGTTACGTGCATCCTAGTCTTGATTCAGTTAAATAAGAATTTCAAATTAAATTTTAATAGTTTTCAAGAAATAGTTATGCTCTTTTCTCGATGTAAAACTAAATAAGTGATTAAGTGTAAATTACAAAAAATATGAAATAGCAATTGCATCAATTTGTAAAACGAGCTTTTTTTGCTATGTTACGATATGAAAATATCAAAAGAAACTAAACTTTAAACATGGGTTCACATAATTATTTTGGACATAAGTTGAATCATCGTTTTTTTTTTATGTGCTGATTACGTAATGATAATAAGTTTATAATTTCAATACATCTGCACTTCCTACTGACAAATGATTCATGTCTAAGTTAATATAGTTTTCAAGTTTCTAGTGTTGATAATACGAAAATTTAATGAATCTAATTTTAAGTTAAAATCAAATTAAAATATGACATATTTTTAAGAACGTGCATGTTAATTATTAATGTTTACAATTATAAGTAATTAATTATATGCGTTGCATGCTAATACTGGTATTTTCAAACTATAAACTAATTGTCTTTAATTTGTGATTATGGTAAATAATCATTCACTTTGTATTGATTAAATTAAAGAGCTAGTGTACTTATGCTTGATGAACACACATCACAACTATCTATGCTTTTTCTTGTCTGTAATGTCGATTGAATTGTATTTAATTTGGAAATGTAATTCGGCTCTGTCTCTCTATTTTAACTATTCTTCCACAGTAATTTTCTCCTACTATTGTCAATAAATTGAGTGGTTTGTTCATTAGGGAATAGAAGAACAGCGAGCGTCCGTTCGGTGGGATACAGCGATTTATTTGTTCTTAGTAAAAAGGACATGTGGGACGTCCTGAAAGAATACCCAGCAGCCAGAGTCCGACTGGAAGCAATCGCCGTCAAGAGATTGGAGAAGTACAAAAGGGCACCGCTGGAAAAAGGTATGTATCTCCTCCAATAGTAGACTCGGTCCATTGCAATATTCTCACTTGAGGAAAATAACCGTTCGATGAACATTTGCATTTCGCGCTCCACATGTAATTCCAATCATTTTACAGGAATATGGAAATGCAGAATGCACACGGTATTGGTTTTTTTGAACTGAACGATTATTGGAAACGCGTTTCGTTTACACTGTTCAATGTTTCACCTATTTTCGTCATCACACGTGCTTTTTGTTTTGTTGTCGCTATGTATAAAGCATTCAATCAATTCATATACATTTTTTTTTTAGTAAACTTGTTGATCTCATCCAACACGCAAAAGGATTATTTAATGAAACATTGCCGACGTATTGACAAATTTTTTTTTATGAACAGGCTTTTATTTGGTGTTGCATTTTTAATCACATAATCTTCCTACATTGTTTGTTCAAATAATCAACTTTAAATAATACAACAATAAAATTATAATTTCTTTAAATCAAAATATAAACCTCTAAAACTTTAACATACAATTTACTAACACTCAAAGATTAATTTAATTAACATTTAATATTAAAATTTTAATTTTTGCTATTACAAGAATAATATTTGTATATATTGTTGCAAACTTTTGTTAAATTGGTCCATTTCGAATTGCAATTGTCTACTATAATGGTGACCCTAATAACGTTGTATACGTTCTGTGAATCGGAAAGCTGTTACCGTGTTTGGTATTGTGAAGATTCACCATTGAATGGAAGGATTCCGTTTAATAAAATTGTTTCCCGGTAAAGTAATCGGTTTTCGGGATTTTAGAGCTCTGCTTAATACTTTGTAACCAACCAGTCGGTCGGTCTTTCAATTCATTCCGTTTTTCACTTAATGTATTCTATTGAAAATACAATTTATACAATAGTTTGCTTCATAAATTAGAAAAAAAGAAGATTTGTAAGGATAATCATCACGCTTAAAACGGTGTTTATTTTATTCGATTTCAACTTCCTCGATTAGTCCGGTTTCAAACAGTACGGGATATTGGTAGAAACGGTTATACGTACATTTATACAGCCGAAATAAAATAAATTAGCCTTAATTACTGTAATTAGAGTGTTGAATAATACACAGGGAAATCAAGAAGTTGATGGGTGTTCGATAAAAGTGTTGTTAATCACCATTTTCATTAATCACACTTAATCATTGCTGATGCGACAAGGCATGTGCGCACGGCTTTATTCTCATAATTGGTAGTTCATCATCCGAGAGCAGCAAAACGAAATAATTGAATGATCCTTTCATTCAAAAACTACAACAAAACAAAAACTACTACACAATTTATTGTTTAGTGTTAATATAATAAAAAATACATGTTTTTCATGGATTTTATAATATATTTGTATATATATCATTGGCACGAACATAAACAGATGTGAAACGAATGCTTTCGTGACCTACTGTACATTAATTATAATAACACATTCGGTTATTGTGCGCACATGTTTTCTCCCCAGGTATTGGATTTTAATGAATAATTTATAAATATTGCGAATTTAATCAACCAACATTTCCCGCAATTGAATTGCAAATTAACTGTTTCTATTATGCACATGCATACGCAGTCATAACGCATCAAAATTCGAAACAATATCAATTGAAACTAGACGTGTAGAGAAAACTGATTGTTTACTGTTTGTTAGCACACTCTGATATTTAAAAAATAATAATAATTTCAGAATTTTATTGTTTTTTTTTTGTTGAAATTATAATATTGTAATTAATAAATATATTTTTGTCATTCTCGCATAGTCCGCGTAATTATTCAATCAACATTCCGGGATCTGTTTGAAACTAAACTAATCGAGGAACTAAAAATAAAATGTACAAGTCTCTTTTTATGCGGTTTATTGAGACTTAATAATGGAAAAACTGTGATATACTGAAGGAGTGAAAGGATAAATTATGTTATAGTGAAACCGGACGAGGTATGCTGTAATTCATATATTGCTATTTAATGTGCAAATATTTCTATTTAATTCAAAATATATAATATTGTAAAATGTAATTATTGAATTTTTTTCTAGTTACAGTAAATATTATCTATTTTATTTACTAATTTAAATTGATTGTTATTATTAATTAAAATATCGTATATATAGTAAAGTCTAATATTTAGATAAGATAGTCTTATTAAATGTCATTACTTAATATTATTTTATTGTTTTTTTTTATTATTGCTTAACTGAGATTATTAATTAAATTAGAACATTTTTATGTACTTTATTTCGACGGTCTTATCTAATAAAAAGTGCAAACATAAGCGGGATTATCCAATATAACTTTATAATTTGTTTGCACGGAGGAGAGGCAGAGATGTGGAAATCTATTAAATACTTTAATTGCCTAGACCTAGACTAAATTTAAATTGAAAAAAAAACGAGAAAACATTGAAGACGACATTGAAATATACTTAAAATAAATACATAAAATATATTGTAACATTGAAAAGTATCACAAAACTAATAATAAGTCCAAAGTATAAAGATTAGAGATTTGTTTGTAATGAATTCTTTAAAATTAATTAGTTTGAAACCGTGCGTATATTGAGCGAAAATTAATGTTAATTTTGAAAAATACGAATGTAAATGTTATAGAATACTAATTATCTACAATATAGAGACTTTCTTTTAAGTAGAATGTATACAATTTATAAATATATAAAATTAATGTGGAATTAAAGAAAATTTACAAAATATATAGTAAATATATAAATATTACTTTGAATTAACTAATACAGCAACACCTCGCATAGTGCGGCATCGATTAATGCGTATTCACTATATTTAGTAAAACAAAAATTATACACATTTGTTTCCTATATACAATCAATTTTCTTTTAATATTTTTGTTTATTTTTATACGGTTTTAATCCTTGATTAGTCCGGGTTCAAAGATATTCGTGGAACGGATAACAGTTCAGGTTATTGTTCTCAATGTATACAATTGCTAACTTGCGTTTACTGTAAAAAGAAAATATATTGTACATATTTTCTAATTGTACACTATGTTCAAACCGGACTATTTTGAATCCGTTCAAAACCGGGCTATGTGAGGCAGTCTTTTTTATATATTTAACAACTATTTCTTTTAGTTTTTTTTTCTATTTTAAATTGTACACTAACTGACAAAGTTTGCAGACACGTATAATTTAACTAAATTATAACTTTAAAACAAATATTCTTGTCCTTGGTATTAAAATAATGTAGCATAAATGTAGATTAATTGAAAGTTAACGACATCTGTATTCAGTTAAGACCAATGGTTGATGTATCGATCAAACGGTTTTAAGCCTGAATAATTTATGGCACGAAATAATACAGCAGTTAGTTGACGGCAGGCAACAAGTTTGCAATAAATCTCGAATTTCGGGAATGGTCTTATTCCGGTAATCAAATTTGAATTACCGAAAATTCAGTTCAGGAGACGCGAGACACGCTCAGTCGAGAAACTCTACGACTAAGCGGATTAAAAACCCTCCGTCGGGTGCTGGGATAGAACACACCACCTCCCAACAGCCCCAACGGTCGCCCGTCGTCTCTCCTGTGCCCTTTCGGATTATATACTTTAAACTCCTTAGCTACACAAATGTGTTTAAGGCCGCATTGTAAACTAGCAAAATACGATGTTATTCAATTACATAGTTTCGCGTTCGAGTTCATATTATTATTATTAAACTCGCATCCCATGGCAATACGGAAAACAGAATAAATTGGAAAAGATGAATGGATCGCATTTCGCTTGATAAATTTTAAATTACAATGGAATTGTGTTATTGAAATCCTCATAGGATTATGATGAATCGTCTCCGCTTTACCACTTATTCATGTTTCTGCTAAATGTCTGTACTTTTTCACTTTAACAAATATTACAAATATTCAAAAAATACCGTAAATTTTAAATAAACATGAAGATTCTGAATTTAAGCAAGTAAATATAAAAATAACATATAACCTAATAACCTAATGAACATGTTTACTAATAATTATGTATGTAGTATATACCAATTTAATTACATCAATAATTCTGCAATTCTGTTGAATGCGTTTGTTTTTTTTATACGCAATCGCTGTTAAATCTGTCATGAAATGTGAGATAATCGAAGTTTATGGCAAACGATAAAAGTCCTCTTCCAAAATCAGCTTCGATTCGAAATTTTATTACCCAATGTTTGTGTGCTGAACATTGCAAAAATCTTACGCAAAGTGCATTTTCATTATTGTTATTGCAAATATCATATATAGTTTGAATAATAATTTAATCGCCAAATAAACAAATATAAATGTTAAAACTAATAAAATAAAACTTGTAATTACCAAAAAAAATCGTAATAAACGTTTAAATAATAATAGCAATAACATAAAAATATATAAAAAATACTACTTCACATAGTCCGGTTTTGATCAATACGGATTCACTATAGTCCGGTTCGAAGATTGAGTAAATTAAAAATAAATTAAAATGCTAGTAGATAAAATATTATATACTTGTATACATTAATAATCGGTTCCTTTCCCTTTACTTTTATTATGAGGATTTAAAGTCCTTGATTAGTCCGGTTTCAATCGGACTATGCGAAGTATTGCTATACTATTAGATATATTCTAATAATAATTAAAAACATGTAGATTTTATTGAAGTTAACAACTTTACTTGATGTCGCGTAAAAATCATAAATAACATTTTTTAAACATTATTATTTGATTAAAAAAATACACATTATTGTACAACTTAATAAATTATGAAATGAATGAATGCATATTAATAAATATGAGCTGATGCTTGAAAGTCTAAAATGTAATGTTATTTTCTGTGCGCAATTGTATTCACTAGAGATAACTCATCCATCATTTTGAGTAATTGAATCTAAGAAAATATGCGAATAATAATGAAACGTCGTAATATCCGAGATTCATATTTAAATGATTATATAAGTTTGCGATGTGTATAGGAGAGAGCGACTGACGGTGGCGAAGTTTCCGTTTGGGAATCACAAGAAATATCATTTTTCTTGCGGCAGATTTTATCCTGACGAGTGAAAAGTTTTCGCGTTTACGTCGCAGTTGATAACCGCGGATTTCGTCTTTGAATATTTAACTAAGTTTTCTATTAAACTTTACTTCGGCAAACGAGTGGTGTTGCGCCCGTCTCCCCCCAAAAAATACAGATATAGGAGAAGGTCAGAAAGGAAAAGTATGGAAAAGCGTTTCTCGTACATCATCCAATTAGAATATCATAAGAAAAGTAAATCTATATATTTATATATATATATAAAAAATGAATACATTTCCGTGGAGTGGAGAAAAATGTATAGTATTTTTTGTGTGTGTGTTTGCAGCGGCGATGGGAAGGAGTCAGTCGACTCCTGGTCTGGTGGAGTCACGTGGCAAGGTGCCTTTAGAGGAGATGTGGGTGCCATCCGGCTTAATCGGCTTAACACTTGCCTACCCGAGGTCGCTCTTAAGCTCACCTCCAAGACCTCCACCGGACTCCCCGGGCTCCACCAGTAGTGGCAGAAGTAGACACCACACCCCCGCCTCACAAGCCAGATCAGGTAAAGAATGAGAATGTTTTGAGTGTGTACTTACATAATCCCCTCTCTACCAATGCAAGCAAGCAACAAGTACCCTACACTAACAATCAATTCTCATTTTATTTTTGGCCTGTATCTATCTACATCCCCCAGTTTACAACCATCTCTCAAATTAATTCCGAAATCATTCTTTACCGCTACTCTTCAACTTGCATGTCCATCATTTTTATCTACATCTCAAAAGTACAATTTAATTATATAATATTAAACGAATTGTAAGTAGTAACCTCCAACAACAAAAGCATATACACGAAAATTACCAAAAAAAATAACATAAACTAATAAAGTTTAGTTACTTTATTACTACTTAATTATTAAAAACACAAGAACCTTAAAGACTTATTAATTTTAATTGAACTAAAATGTAATAGTAAATTAAATTATAAGAACAATACCAGATTCCCAAAATAAAGTAGAAACATAGCTATTTTTATTGAATGCATAGATTTTTTAACACTTTTCATATAAATGCACCAATATTGTAGTTTATAGTTCCCATACAAACAATATTTTAGTAGTTTAAATCAATTTATTCTTTTTTTTTATTAATTTCATTTGATTTTGGAATCAACAAATATTTTTATATAAATATGAGTTTAAGTGTTATGGAATTGTATAAACTTCATATTTTTTTTTATTAATTATAGAATCTTATAACAAAAACTTTAAATATTTTTTTATGATGCAATTTACAAATTATTACAAATATCCGAAAATCACTTATTGTTCAAATACTTTCATTTAGATCACATAAGAACTTCATAAGTTTACAGTAATTTAATCATGTTTCTATATATCTTTTTTTTTTATTCACCATATTTCTGTTGAAATACTTTTAATATTTCTTCAAAAGTAATTTAAAGAATTCAAATTCAGTTAAAAGCACTTATTTTCCTTCAGTTTTCTGCAAGCACTTCCAGTTAAAAGCAGTCTTCAGCTGTGAATACTTAAAATGTAAAGTTCAAGAAAATCCTTTATATAAATAAGAAAGACAACCAGTTCCAATTTATTAGCAAGTATAACAATCGCTTTTATGCTCCGCTATACAAACTCCGCAGGGTCTTCAAACTCTTTTCAAATTAATAGAGACGAAAAATATAAAGAAAAAAAAGTGAGTTTGGTATTTAAAATTCGCCGTATATTAACATAGAACAAAATAATTTCTTTAATATTTCAGCTAACAATTATTAAATGGTTTTCGCTATTAAATTTAAAGTAGATTATAGAAATACTCATCAACTTAATCTATAGACTAAATTTAAACAAAAATCATCCATGCTAATTGCTAATTATCACAAATATATGTTTAGTATTTATCATGTAAATATGAATATTAAACTATTGAACAATTGACTATGTAATTTGAATTATGAAAAGGATTAACAATCAATTTGTATTTAGCATACGCGTTTTGTTGATGATCTACACATATACACATACATAAGCTTTCGCTAGGTATTCACTATTGATTTCTATAATCACACGGTATTGCTGCAAAACAATTACAGAGACATTGTTAAATGGAAATTTAATTGTAATTAATATTAATATATTTTGGAAATGGGAAAATACGACGAGACCTGCGGATGCATGCGACCGTCCCCATACAAATCACTGTTAATTAATTCCAGGCAAACCTAGCGATTAGCGAAACGCATTTTCCCCATAAACATTCTGCACACTACATAGTATTTAATCCATCCAATCGTAACCTATCCATTTAATATTTTACTATCAATTTATTTCTTAATTCTATTTAATAAAAAACTTAATCTTTATTTATGCCCAAGATGGGCGACTAAAAATTATTGAATAAAATAACATTACATTATAATTAATTAAATAATTAAGTGCTTTTATAATTAATTATGTGTTGCTAAATGTATTTGTTTTAGTGTTTTTTTTTTGTGTGCTTCCGTTAGAAATAATTCGCACGTCGTCTCGGTTCACGCAATTTCCTTAATAGATTGTGCTTCAATTTTATATGAAGTCCGTCGGGCCATTAACTCCATTAGATTTATTAAATCCAGCAGCAAAAACTGATATTATTATTATATTATATTCTGTATTTATAGCTTACTGCAACGGTTTCATCCCCCATTTTCTCTTTATGTGTATATTTTGGATATCTAAACTTGCATGTTATAATGAAAAGTTTAATAATATTGAACTACAATAATACGTAGTAAATTAGTGCTACATTACTACACAATGTACATAAGTAATCATTCGTTTATTTCGTAACCCTCCGTTACTCGCCTGGCGTCTTAGAAATTGTTTCTAATTGGTTGTATTTTTCTGATTACATTGATAATTTTCGTGAAATGTCTGCATTTTCCGGAAGAAAAATGTTTTTCGATACATCTATAAACGATGATTAATGAATATATTGGGTGAAGTAAAAAGTTCTGAGCATTTTTCGTTAGATGGTTTTAGTGAACCATATCTCACGAGACGAGAGTCTTTAGTGAATCGAGTTGTGTGTTTGAGCATTCCAAAATGGAGGTAAAAAGAGAAAATTTGATACATTCTTCACTACGACCAAGGAGAAAAGCGGAGCAGGTGTTGTTTTGTGTTGTTGTTGTTTATGAACCCACTGCAGTATCGAATGCTTCCGTTCTGGTAGACAAATCGTCGAAAATGTTGATAAAATCATAGAAAGCATCGAGGCGGACTGAGCACTTATTCCATTGTCCAGGAACTGAAGATTAGCCAGAAAACCGTTTGGAACCATTTGCTTAAAACTGGTCTCAAGAAGAAGCTCGATGTATGGGTTTAAAACGCTCAGAACTTTTACTTCGCCCAATCACTAAAATTTACCATTTTTTTCAAGAAAGCTATTATAAAACCAAGAATATTTTGCTATTCATTCTTCAGCGCATTACTCTAAAATGGCGTAACGTGCTTTTACAAATCATCAGTCAGTATGAAGAAGGTACATTGTGTTGCCCTACTTTTACAGTTTTAAAAGATATGGTTGGTTTGTACCAATTGACACAGACGTCGCGCGACTAACGGAGAGTTAAAACTAGTAACCAGAGTTTTGATATTAATACAATATACATAATATACCTTATCTCTATGGCCCTTATAGATAAGTCTCCCCTGTATATAGTAATATATAAATATGTTACTAATAATATTAAATGAATAATGTTTTTATGTTGCAATATTTAACAACGTATAAATATGATTTATATTTAATAGATTGTTGAGGTAAACACACAGTTTTACAAATCATATCAATAATAAGAAAATTTCATCGATTTGCATTTTAATTATTGTAGCAAATATAATCCACCAGATTAGTATTTTTACTTTAATAATTATAATGGACATGAATAAATTTATTGATAGAACAATGTTAATTAATGTTGGTTCGTTTAAGTTGGGACATATATTAACAATTAAATGTGTCAAAGGAACAATTAAACTTGTAGTATATTGACCAGTCCAAATATAGATGAATTAAACGATTCAATCGATGTGAACGGTTCGGTTGAATTGCGTTCGTCGGTTTCGAGTTGGAAGTAGCTTTCAGCTGCAGAAAGTCCGTGTTTGCATTTAATCAAGTGCTGATGAAACTGGAATTACTCGTGATTATGATTCCTGTACCTGCTAGAGTGTGTATTAATTGAAAGATTGCTTTCTGCCTATGCCAATTGCACCAACTTGATTCGTGTCCTCTTTTTTGTTTTGTCGCTAGGTACGACGCTCCAATGCGACAGCATGACGCAGCTGGTGTCGGGCGCCGCGACGCCTCTGCTGGGATCGCACGAGGTCCTCGAGACGGAGATCAAGAGGCTGAGGGAGAGACTGCACACCGTGGAGACGGAGAACGCCGCGATGAGCGTCAAACTGAATCAGCAACAATGGGAACTGGAGAACAGACTTGCAGAAATCGAGATGCAGATCTGCGGTTCCAGATCGACAAGCAGTCTCGAAGATAATGACAACGAGAGGAACCGTGAAAGCATTATTTAACAACAAAATGTGCTGCCTTACAACGCGTTTCGGACCCACGCGTTCGTACAATACATCGTGTAAAGGCGGCGAATATAATTTTATTAAGTAAACGAAACCAATTTAACAACAAACTAATAAAATTAAATAACATTAAAAAAAAAGAACGACATATATAATATACACCCGCATTTAAATGATGATGATGATGATGATGAAGAAGAAAAAAAGAAATTTAAGCAAACTAATTTTTATTACATTGATAAAAAAATATACATTATGGTGCATTTTCAAGATTTATATAATTTGCCAAAAAGAAAATAAAGGCAAATAAAAACAAGAAACTGATAATACTATTGAAACGAGTAAAGAGGAAAAGCTAATTCTGAACAAAAATGGAAAATTTTATCTACAAGTTGTATTTGTTAATTATTAATAATAATCAATAAATAATGTGTAACAATTATATTAACATTCTGATTAAAAATACTAATCAATATGCGTTTTTTTTTAATAGTATAAAAAACAAATTCTCAGAATCAGAAATAAATCAAAATAAGAAATAAAGATCTTTTGTAACGACCAAAAAAAAATATACTCTTTTTCTTGATTGTTATTAATATTTAAATAAAATTTAATGATGTGGGGCGCTGTAAGTATTTCCCATTTTATTTCAGAATTTGTTTGTTTGATGTATTCTAATTCAGTGAGACTATAAAATTATGACTGCCAGATTATAATTAACTTTTCCAAAAAAAAAAAAACAAAAAAAAAATAATAAAAAAAAAACCAACAAACTAGTAATTAGTGAGATGACCCTGTGAGTGAGGTTTGTTCATTGATAAACTACGTGATTATTGTTTTACTACTACATAATTTGTCCGTTTTGGTGCTTGGATTGTTTGTTGTGGGCATTATTTGTGAAACTCTGTACATAGTAAACCAAATCACATCCAAACCGTCGTCGTGTTGACTCCGAGTGGCGCGGATTGAAGTAAGCCATTAACAAGAATTTGTAATGACCAATTCATCCTTCATTCGATGAATGAATGAATGACACGAACTCGTTTCGGCTGCTAATACTAATATTTACGTTTACTTTTTTTTTTGTTTCCGTTCAAAATTGATTTCCGTCAGGCGATCAAAATGAATCCTGCATCGGATTTCTTCTGTGTGCGCTAAATTTATTGTATAGTGTTTTAATCATAACCAAAAGTATATAAGTATGTTAACTATAGGTTTCGGAAACGGTGCATAACGAATACATTTATCTCTTATATTTGTTGCAAATAATATTATATACTTTAACATTCACAAAATATATAATCAATAATCTTCCTTAATCTTTTTGATATTCATATACAGTAATTACGTACACTGAATTATCTAAAAAAAAACTAATAATATGAAGAAGAAAAAAAAAACGTTTTTTTACATGAAGCACTGTTTTTTTTTTCAAATTTTTGTTTATTAAATATTTAAATATAAGTGATAAGTCTTCCATGTTTGTTTATTATTATTCAAGTTTATTTTTTCGTGAAATCAAAAGCGCAGAATGCAATGTAAGATGAATTTGCTTAAATTTTTGTGTATATCAACAAGCAGCAACAAACATAATTGATAAATTGATTCATTTATTATTTATTTATTTTTTAATGAACAAGTAAGATGTGAGAATAGAATCGACTAATTCGGTGATAGGCGGCTGATTCCGGTGTCCCGTTTCTAACAGAGCGGTTCGCATGCAGGGACCAATCTTATCCTCATTTTGTAAATGAAAACAAACAAACAAACAAAGAAGAAAAAAAGAAAAGGCAAAAAGTTTAATTCAAACGCAAATGACTTTTATACACGTTGATCCCATACGATGAGAGGAACACTGAGCACGAGCAGCTTAGCAGCAATTTGTGTTTGAATTATGCACATTATTACATCATTCTTTCTTGAATGTCATCTGTAAGTACGAGTCAAATCCTTGTTGTTTCACCCTGTAAATGTTGTAATTGAGTTGCTTAGATCACACACATATACACAATGTACCGTAAAGTAAGAGCTTTGTAAATGTCAATTAAAAAGCCCCGCGCGCAATCATTAAAAATGTGTACTCGTGTAAATAATCATCCCATCCCGTAAATATATTTGACAAAGAATGACTTAACGATGTGCTGGTTAATTAAGACAACATAACTGCCATGTTTCAAGGATCTATCACAATTTGGGAAATAATAGAAGAAGAAGAAGAAGGTTAAATGAAGGAAGTACTCGAATAAATTTAAAATAACTATATAGTCTGTAGATAATATTTTCTAGAAGATTCTTGTAGTATAAATCATAGTTGAGACCCAAGGAAAAGATTTACCAAAAAAACGAATCAATTCGGACCGTTCCTTCTATTTATATATATATACGACATGTATAAATAATATATAAATATTTTTTTTTTGCTTTTTTTTTCGAATCCCCTCCCCATTAATGGTAGTACGTAAGAAACTTAGTTAACCCTGTGAGACCAAATATTTTTAAGATGTTTTATCTACTTGCTTGTCTGAATCGAAATTTCTAAAAATTGCTATTTATTATATAAATTACGTGAGTAACAGAAGATGATGATGAAGAAGAAGAAAAAAAAAATGATATAACAAAACAATCCCAAACACCCCATGTAAAACTGTTCTGTTTGTATTTTGTAAGAGTGCCCTGAAGAAGGAGAAGAAAAAAAAAAGAGGGGGAGAGTTAATTGTGTACCGTTTGTTTTACCAATTGTTGTGATTCTATTCCTTAAAAAGAAAATGAAACCTCCCCCACGTAGGAAGAATATTATAAATTTTACGAATATAGTAATTAAAAGTGGACGAATGAAGGAAATATGTTAAAAGAAATAAATATATATATATATTTGTTGCTACATTGTTATATAGGTATATTAATTGAGATATTGTAATTTATTGTGACGGTACTTATGTTCACAACGGCCCTGTATCGAAAAAGGGGGGAAATGTCTTATGATAAAACTAAAACTTAAGTTTTGTACCCACGACAAGTGCAGGCTCATATCATTATTACGCAAAAGAAGAAAAGAAAGAAAAAAAAACAGGAAATGATCCATTTTCATGATTGTAAATTGATTTGCCATATTTATAATCGAAAATTATTGTACAGATATTATTATTATTCCTAACAATATTCATAATTCTTTTTCTTTTTTTTTTTTTTGGTTCTTTGGAACGTAACCTGTCATTTGTGTGTCCATTAAATTATATATATATATATCCAAAACCACCATGATTATTCCCAATATTTTAGCTATTTCCATTTTTGACTAAAGAAAAATGAATTTTTGTCATTGTTATATTCCTAATATTTAATATAATTCCCGATAATAAAGAATTAAAAGACGAATTATTATGTTTTAATACTCCACCACATTCTAATAACATCTCAGTAATAAATATCACATTCATATCATAAAGAAAACGAAGATTATTTTATGTTATAATTTTTGTCTTGATTTTGAATGTTACTAAATACGACCCTGTGTTCCGTACGTCAACTGATTCAAAGTTTACTAAGTTAACCTCCAAATTCCAGCACAGTTTCATGCCCGAATTAAACTATGTATATGAACAAGATTAACAAGTTACTAGTCTGTACAAAATGTGTTCAAAACCAGTTGCGTTTCGTAAAAACTGTATCAGTACACGAAAAATTATTTACCAATTTGTTGGGTAAGTATTCAAAAATTGATAATAACATTGACTTTCGTGATTATATTTTAATTAAATATTATATAACGATACTAGAACTATACTCTTAGTTTTTTCTTCAAGTTCAAATATCTAGTAATAAATTATTGTAATATCCATAAAATATAAATTTTAATTATTATATTTGTATAAGGTATGCAACCAAACTATCAACTACGATATTTGGTTTCATATATACAAATGATCATAAGCAGCTATTGGTGAGAAATGAGGAGGGGAAAAGAATAGAAGGTGGAAGAAATAGGGCCGTAATGGTATAAATTTTAATAATAACACTTAAAACACTAGAACATTAATATATTTCAATATTTAAAATAACGACAAATTAATTATATTTAGTGCTTATTGTTAACATTGATTTAACTTTTACTTATTATACTTTATATGGATTTTTTTAAAATAATGATGGGCTTATAGGGACCACCAATATTAATACAGTGGAACCTCGCATAACGAGCAAAATGAATTGTACGAAAAATGACTCGCTTAACGAGTGACGATGAAAAGAGAAGCCCCGGATTGCGCGCCTGCTACATCATTTTTAAAACATGTGTATTTTTAATATGTCTCACTATACGAGTAAAAATCCGGAAATTTTGAAACGAATTAAACTCGTTAAGCGAGTTTCCACTGTATATGAATCTTAATAATTGTAGTTATTATTTTGAATCTATTTTCAAGACGTTTTCGGTTCCACCTGTTTCTATTGTCGCCAGCCGCTTACAGTTATCATCATATCATGAACAAACAGTTGACTTAAGAAAAAAAATCATTGTTTATATTTCGTTATAGTTTTATTAAAGTATATATCACTAATGTTCTTGAATCTTTATGTATATAATTAGTAAATTTTAATCCTAAAACAAAATACATGTTTTCTGTACTTCTAGGGATGAAAGAAGAAGAGGCCCACAAGTATGTAAAGAATCATAGATTAACGGAAATCGATTCAAATAGATTGTACGAAACCATAAAATTTTTCAATAATAAACCATTAGACATTAAAGAAGTTCTGAAACACCCGAATGTTTTTCGTTTCGGCGTTAAACATACGTGGGATCAAATTCACATGTATCTTCAGGAATGCGGTATCCATGAAGTTGCCTTAGATATCCTATTAGAGTAAGTATTAAAGTTTCCTATTTAAACTGTACATTTTGTATCTTATTATTTGTGACATAATAATTTCCATAATATAATTACAAACACATTGTTTATGCAACATACATTTATGTAAAATCGTTTCAATTGAAGTGTACGAAAAATCCGCGCATCATCAATAAGTAAATTAAAGGAAATAGAACTGATAGATCAAGAATTAAAAGTAGCTGAAAATCTAATAAAATACCTGAAACCACTTCCGAGTAATTTTGACGTAAGCGATCTGTTGGACGACGAATTAACTCTTGGTCATATACATAAAAACATAGTCCAGAGATTCATTTGTAAGTATAAACATAATTTAACGTGTTCTCTAATTACACGTGAACTCTGATTTAGCATACAGATTGGAAGCGTCGCCTGAAAAAATAGAAAAATTATTTCGCACCCATCTGCACATCCATAATAAAAGCTTGACCTTTTTATGCGAGAATATCAACATAGCTTTAGAGTTGGGATATTCAAAGACGAGGCTAATGAACAATGGATACATCTTACAGACGAATCCTTTGAATACACGTGAAGTCCTCAATGCATTACCTACCCTAGCGCAATGTGACATGAGGGCCCAAATGAAGATGTATCCTAAACTCATAGGAATTTCGTTACAAAACTTTTTGCGGACTTACGAATTACTGCGGGTGAGTTTATTTAATTAAGAAATTTACAACAACTAACACTGTATTAAATTATATACAAAATACTCAATTAAAAGTTAAAGAGTTCGAGTATATAAAATGATCAAGTAGTTAGTTTTGAATGTTAAATGCTAAAGAATAATTTTTTTTTTTCAGAAATGTGGTATTGCTGATGAACATATTTCTAAGAATATGAACATATTTTCCTTATCGACTAAAACAATTCAGAATAGAATTAATAACATTAAGAAGGTTCCAGAAATGAGGTTACTAATGAAAAACCCAAAGATGCTCGACATGATTATACATTATCATAAAGCTATAAATCGACTCGATTTGCTACAAAAAGTTAAACTCAAATGCACCAGTTTGAGTGTAATTGGTGAGTAGATTAACGTAAATTTTTAACAAACTAATAATTAGTATGTGGCTAGTTCTATCTATTTGCGTGAATGAGATTATGTCACATTCATTGGTATTAAATAAAAATAAGCTAGGATATACTAATCTGTATAGATAATCCTAATTGAAGGTCCATGTCTGCGTGTGCAATAAAACTAAAAAAAAGTCTGAAGATTAGATATGAATCGAATTGTTATTGTATTTTATTTTTTTATTAGTGAGCGAATTAAATATTTAAAGAATGTTGTAATGTTGCAGTTTCAGACGTTTTCGATGAATATGTGAAAGAAGGGAAGGACGTTAATAGGAAAAGAGAATTAATGAAATTGATTAGGAGCATGGTCAAGGATGACGATATAATCGAGGAGAGATTCATGAAGCACCCATTTTTCTTGAATGTACCCTTCGTTGAGATCGAAAAGACGTATTTGTACCTGAGGGCACATTCTTTCCTCAACAAGCAAATCGCAGTGGCAATGCCAATTTTGCTCTACCCAAAGTATGATACATTCCCCACCAAAGTTCTAACAACAACAAAAAAATTATCAGAATATATATGATTTCGCAGGGAGAAAGTCAAAGAGGCTCTTCAGACGATTTATAATGATGAGAGAATTAAGTACGCGCAGGTGAAAAACAGTCAAGTTTTAAATACGGCTTTGTACTTCTTGGAGAGGGATCATCACTTCACCGGAAACGGCATTTGGAGAAGCGTGGAACCGGATGACGAATCTTAGACCGATTAGTATTTACTACCTAAAGCATTACGAATGATGCATTCTTGTTACGGTAAAAACAAAATTTTGTTCTTTTGCGCTCTACCAGCAAAATTGTATAATCTTTGTGATGTTTAAATCTGAATAAACAGACTGTGCAGCATGCAAAGTGCGAGCGTTATTCTTCTAATACAAGCCATTAGGTTTACCTATTCGTTAGGTGAAAATAGATTTGGCGATTGTTGAATATCTAGGGTAGGGAGAGAAGAAAAATCAGAGTGCGCAGAAGTCAACTATCAATCACATGAATATCGCAATGTCTGGTTGTTGTAGGTTAGAAATAACGCTCAGCTGCGGCAACACGGACCGCACCAGACCGCTCAGTACTCGCGTATACGTTAAGGGCAGAACGAACTGCTGCAAACGTAACGAATTATTACGTTTATCCGGATACCTGAAGTTTTTTTTTTCTTTTCTTAATTATTGTGGTAAACCTCAGCAATTATCCTTCGGTGCAGAGGAATAAAAATCTCGTACATGTTCCAGCATCCAAACGCAACATCTCTTCAATTTCACGTGTAAGTATTTCATTTACAATCATTCATTCACAACTCGCAAACGATTGATACACGCTTCAACAACCGCAAGAACATTTAAATATTCGACATGTGCCGAGGCGGAAATCGATTAAAGAATTCCATATTCTATTGGACTATAATTAGATCGAACCGATGCGAAATTGAGCATTTCAAATTTGAATCGCACTTTCAAATATTCGAATCCAGTTCTGTTTCTGACAGACGATTCTGCTTCAAGCATTATTTCAAAGTTCAAACTCAACATACCGTTAGATTTGCTTTTGACATTAATTTCTCATAGAATGCAAATAATTAATGATGTAATTATTATATTTTATTCATGGTCAAACAACGCTAAATATAACTTCGAACCAGATTCTTACATTAACTTTAAGAACAAAAACAATAGTGTTTTAATTCACAATTTGTTGTATAATTTAATGTTTATAGAACAATGACAATATATACCTCAAATTGATAACGTTTCTAAGAATCATTTCATTGAGTAAGGTTTTTTTTTGCCTTAATAAGAAACGTTATGATGGATTTTCATTAGCAAATGTATTTACTGTTTACATAAAGATGACGGTTAGTAATCGACGAGTAATTGAAAAATTCTATTAAATTATGTCAATACATCTCATTTCTAATCAATTAATAGAACATAGTAATAATAAAATTTCAATTTATTAATTAATATACTTTTTTCTAAATTTTATGCACATTCAAAAGTATGAATATTCAATTTTGTTTTTGGAAGTTTATATAGATATGTTTTTCGTATACATTTTTTGTTAGAGAAAAGATTTGTTTTGATTCAAATTTCATGGGTGTTTTGTGTGTGATTGAATGAATTAAATATGTATCAAAGTACTAAACTTTATGATGATTTTAATGAATTATAATTAGACAGAATAAATTCAAGTAATATTTATTGTATACACAAATAAAATTGCTATATTTAATAATATTATAACTAAATATTGTGCAAGTCATGAGATCAACACATTTATTATTCACTAATAATATTGTGACACCTTTTAAAACACTTGAAATAATTTCCACATAAATTACTTCTGATTAATAATTGATGTAAATAAGTAGCCTTTCTTTAAACGCGTATCTTGTTTTGTTATTTTATATTACTAGAAAAGAACGAATGAAACATCTGAGATTTTGATATATCCACAGTATGCACAATGCATTTTGTGACTAATGTAAATCTACTGCGTTTTATCGCATAAATTGCTGATTAAGGATTATAATGAAAATGCAACTGGATTATAAATTTAAAATAAAACATTATAAAATAATCCTTGCCTACAATCAATAATGAAATGTTATGTAAACGTTAATCAAACAAGTGTAACAATTACAAATAATAGCAATGACAAAGTTTTATCTTATTAAATAAACATTAATAGAAATGTGTCTTAACTCATACGTATTGAATATTTGTTAATATTTTCAAATATAATTGTTCAATGATTTGGATAAACTGAATTTCGTTGTATTTGTATGAAAATATTGTCTTTATAATTAGTTCAAAATGTAATTGAAACATGTTAGGTAAGCATTTATGATATTATGAAATTGTAGACACGTATAAAGTGTTTACATGTACGTAAATAATATGAATATATATATTCCAATTTTTTTTTTATTGTCACTTATCGATAAATCATATCATCGTGATTCTACCGTTTTCTACTTTCCATTTACATTGTTAACTGGAATTGTAAATAATTCCCCTAGTCCCAAAAGATAAAATGACAAGTATTTATTTATTCTTAATGTGCAAAGGTCGTTGGAGCGAAATAAACGGTTTAATTAGATAATGCATAAGTACATTTCCTCAATGCTGCAAACAAAGAAGGATCATATCGACATGACTCGCTCCATTTGCCCTATAACTTACTTTTCGATGTAACATCAGCGGATTGTTTTATAGACGACGCGCATTAATTGACCTCAATTAGTATGGTGAAGTGATGAAACACGTCTTGCGGATGAAAATACTTCGATCCGTGCAAACGTTTTAATTATTTAAACAAACATTACTTTATTTTTACCATACGTAACCGTGAAAACCGAACGCGTCACTTTTGGAAGGATTCCAAGCGAAATCTGAATGTCACACAGACACACAACTACTCTTACCCAATACAACTGTTACGTGTTTCCTCTTCGCAATTTTCATTTTTTTTTTCAAAATAATGATGATATAATGTTGATAGAGAATCCCACTTGTCTTCTCTCCCTCTACTGTTGTGTATCTTTCACTCTTTACCTTGAAATAATGTTAGTAGTGACGAATAGTTTGTGGCCATTGTACTTTCACGGAATCCACACAAAATGTGCGGAGGGGACACGGAATTTTCACTGGATGACGAATACAAATAAAAGCTTCTCTCTGTTACACGCGGTTTTAAAATAAAACCACTTCCATTCATTCATACGTTGATGCTTTCTTTGTGTTCGTTACGTTCAAAGAAACACGATTCCTCGCATCATTCGACTATGATATAATATCCATTTATACATATATATATATATTTTGTTTACTTTCTATTGTGTACCCATAAATCAATACGGATTATTGTACGGAATTTAACGCAACAATATGTTGTTGCTTCGTGTACTATTTCAATGAGCCATAAAAAAATAAGATATCAACTCTTTGATAAGCTCGATTATTTTGGCGACATCAATATTTAAATTCCAGAACGTTACTATGACTATGAAGGAAACGAGAACGAGAATTTAATTGCGATACGATAAAGTGAGCTACAAAACAAGTTAATATCAAACGCAAATGATAATAATAGTATTATGTTAGACACTCCAATTAAATTGATAGATTAAATACTATTTTTACGACTCTCGTTTATGAATCTATAAGTAGTCTTATTTTTAATCAATCCACACACAAAAAAAAAACAAATACTTTAAAATAATCAAATTTAGTATATTAACAAACAGTTTACTTATATAATATACATTGATTTTTTATTGTAGAAGTAACAGAAAGTTGACTAAAAAATAAATTACTTTTAATGGAGTGTCCTTCACATGTGAAACGACTTATATGGATATTTTAGTCTCTGTGCGAGTTACAAACGTGAAGTTTAATTATATAGATGTTCCTTATTTGCACTTTATAGATCATTTCATCTTACATGTAATTCCTTAGTATTGTACCTTGTGATCGTAGTCCAACGAATCATTACTGTTTCAGTTCAGTTTAAATTTCTTTATTTCATTGATTTGTTATGTTACATTTGTATTCTTAATTATTAGATTTGTGGCCTTTTGTGAGCTATTGCTCTTTGTGCCGTTACTGTTTACTACATACGTTTGTTTTGTCCAATACAAATGAAAACACAACGTTTAAAATAACTTAGATAAGCACATGCGTTTTATAGATAGTTTCAAATTTCTTAGTTTTAACACACACATTTAAAAATTTCAGTATGTATATTTCATAAAATCTTGTGGCAAATTTAAATAATGAAACACTTTTACAAGTATTTACAATGCGCAATTCTCATCATCATTAAAGTTTAGGGTGAAATTCTGCGGCGCAGTTTCATCATCTTTTGCACACACTCTCATCCGAAGTCTACACTTTAGATCTTCTATGTTAAGATTAGAAAAGCAAATCGATAAGGTAATATGTTATAATATGATATAATCGAGGAAAATCAATATTGAAACCAGTGATTTGATTATACAGATTAATACAAGTAATTGTTTATTTGTCCGATGTAATAAAATCAATTATAAACAAAATTAGATTATTTTTTTATCAGCGCGTATCTTGTTTCTATTCATAAAAGTGTCTACAGTAATAGTAATATATATATATAATTAAATTAGATAATCGAAGTAAGCAAGTTAAAACAATAAATTATGTTTAAGATAAAATAATTTCATTTATTTATTTTAACACAGGAATTTTAGGATTTGTGTTGTAAACTAAAGATTATTCACATTTTTACTAAACTAGTGAGAGAACAGGAAACGTCTAACGACTGTATAATAATCGGTAAAGCTTATTACGCACATTTCATCTCTTTTTAATAGCAGAAAATTGTTTAATAATAGATGTGTCCGCCGGTCGGGATTTTAATGGATGCGGAATGTACGATGCAGTCAAGAGGGGCACAAAAAAAAAGAAATAAAGCCGTGCAACGGAAAATCAATTGAATCCTAGATATCCAGTCGTATCCAAGCAACAACTCTTTGGTACATTGTGCATGCTAACAAGGCCCCGCGATTCAATGAGAAATCAATTACCCGACTGAACCCGCATGCTTTGTTTGTTTGCTTCGCTTCGACCAATTTCAATCTCTTAATTGTTTCCTTTTTTTATTGTCGGTTTTTTTTTTCTTTAAATTTTTGTTTGTTCGTTTGTTTTCATCCGAAGCAATTGATGATAATAAGGCGAAGAGTTGCTGCCCTCAGAGTGTTTACATTGTTTTAATCAATGTGGAAGAGCGAGATTGCATTGAACACGCCAATAATTCACATATTTATTTTTGTTGGTTCACGTTTATTAAATGCGTTTGGTATCGAATCTTATGATGCTTCTCCATTCTGCTAGAGTATAATGATATTAGTTGCGAGTTTACAAATTACCCATCCTTGCTACGTGATACTCACGTTGCGTAACTTACCTAAGTTATTAAACATTAAGTGCATGCACGTCGCTTGCAAACTAATCAATATCTGGGATTTTTTTTTTTGTTTAGTCAAAGAATGTTTGACGGATTTTAACGCTCACGTTAAATACAAATTAAAAATCAATTAATAAACGGTTAGTAACATTGCCTAGGTAACGGGCAGGTTATTTGATCTATAATATGGAATGTGCATATGAAACGTTCCTCTAATTGAAAATGTATCGCATCTATTGATTCGCTAATGTTGCTTCTGTTTATTCGTTTTTTTGTTTTTCAGGCGTTTTCTGCATGAAGTTTTCCAGTACACAAAATAAGAGGTGATGGATGCGGGAGTGAAAAAGGAAAGGCCCACAAATCCGCGATCCGGTGCAAATCCTTTTTCGGTTGTTACATTTTTGTAAGTATATTTGCTTAAGAAAAGCATTTTTTTATACCGAAGTATTTTTTTGACATTGATTATTATGGAAAGATATTACATTAACATTATCGGTTTAAAGCATGTTGTTTGTAAATATGATGTTTCATTTATATATGGTTAGGCTGATATCCACGTAAATGCCGAACAAATGTTTACATCATAAAATTAATTCTGTTAAGTATACAAGGAGCTTAAAATAATATAATTTGATACACACATTTTTTGGAGACAAACTTTATTTAAGCAAATTGATTTACTTTTATAAAATAAGTGATTTGTGTTTTCAACACAGTTCTTCATTTACTCCAAATTGTAAGCCAAATACAAATTTCGATAATAGTTTTTTTTTTAATCCTAAAATGATTGTATCTTAGGATTCATAAATCGAATATTTTTCATCTAATTTTGCTGGTAACTTTAAGTTGGAGTTTAAACTTCAGCTGCTATATAAAAATGGTATTTGGAAGTAAAAAACCGGAAATTTTGTAACGTTAAGCGAGGTTCCACTGTATTCTCTGATCAGTCAAGTATGATATTAATATTATAGAAGTTGTAAGTCTCTTTTTGGTCCTGTTCTTTGAATTATTGACAACTTTTGTTAACTTATAGATTAATATTACAAAATTCTATTATAAACTCGAAGTTCAGTTTTATTATCATACAGATAAAGTATTTTCTATAATCATAAATACGTGTCTTTGTCTCTTTCTTCTTTTTTTTTCCGTATTATAATCGTTGAGAGCTCAGTAATCTAGATTAATAAAGAATTGTGTGTTTCGAAAAGGCGTTTGAATTGCACGAGTAAATATTTACTAGAAATATAATCTGTGTCGCGTATATGGAAAATTTCTCGACTTTCAGTGATCGAAGCACCGATTAATATTTTATTTTCAATATGTTTATTGTTTTTTTTTTTAATTTCGAATACGACTGTTTCCAGCATATCGCTGCAAGTATTATCTAGTGTCAACAATTAAAAATAGTAACTGTCTATAATTGATTGTTAATAAAAAAGTATATTTTTCTTATGAACTAGCGATAATGTACTACGGCCATGTTGTTAAAAATATAAAGTATAATACATAAACATAAAAGTTATGTAATTATAATGCATAGCGTAATTATATAGGAGTAGCATGTAATGATGACTTTACTTTCCCATTATTATCCACTTGTTGTTATGTAAACATTGATGCAAAAAAATTGACATAATCAATTTTTTGCTACATAATAAAATAATTATTTGATACATACAATAGAGTAGTTCAAATAATTCCCAGCTAGTTGGAATGTTTGATAGTAAATTAATGAATATTATGTTTTGAATTTCAGTTATACTTTTCCGACGTTTATACAAGGATTTAGAAAGGAACTAGAGGAAACAGATTTGCCACAAACATGGGATAATCACAAGTCAGGAAAGCTCGGGGATAGGATTGAAAATGCCTGGTTCAACGAGGAAAAGGTGGCAAAGAAGAAAGGCCGAAAACCGTCGATGCTCCGTGTCTTACGAAAAGTCTTCTTATGGGAATTCATTTTCTACGGCCTACTGCTTCTCGTCGGAGAGCTGGGAATAAGGTACGAAAACACAAATCAATATTATCCTGACCAGCATACTATCATTACCATAATCATGATATCCGCACAAAAAAAAAATCCATTCTGATTCCATTTCTAAACAGTCTGGGGTCCTAGATTTTTACAACCAGTATGCATTGGTAAAGTTGTACGATATTTCTCAAATCCGCCCCAACGCAGAGCGAAAGACAGTTTGAACTTTTATGGTGTTGGCAACAAGTTCACACCGGATTACAGGATCAAAAACGAGTAAATATTCTAGTGAGACGATTTGCTCTGTTATGTTTTTCTTTGACTTGTAGTTGTTTGAAATCCCCTTTTAGTTTTTAGTAGATTTATGCATTTTTTTTTTCTTGTTTGCTTTCTTTTTGGTACTAATTACGTCTGTTCTTCTCCCTTTTTTTTGTAGATTAGTTCAACCCATTGCATTGGGCCAATTGATTTCGTTTTATACGTCGAATGGTGATAACATCACCAAAGATGAAGCATACTTATACGCTGGAGCTGTGGTACTTTGTTCCTTATTGAACGTATTCTTTCAACATCCCTATATGTTGGGTTGCTTGCACTTAGGAATGAAAATACGTGTAGCATGTTGCTCTCTGGTATACAGGAAGGCTCTGAGACTTAGCAAATCCGCCCTTGGGCAAACGACTGTAGGCCAACTGGTGAATCTACTCTCAAATGACGTGAATAGATTCGATGTAGCCCTCCTCTTTGCCCATCAACTATGGGTGGGTCCATTAGAGACTGTTATAATCACATATCTTATGTACTTACAAGTTGGATGGTCAGCTATAGTCGGCGTAGCATTCTTATTACTTTTCATACCAATTCAAAGTAAAGTAAATATATAAATTGTTTATAACCATAATAATATATTTCGTATTTTAGTATATTTGGGTAAGAGGACGTCTGTTTTACGACTTCGTACTGCTTTGAGAACTGATGAAAGAGTGAGGCTTATGAATGAAATCATTTCTGGAATACAAGTCATTAAAATGTACACATGGGAGAAGCCTTTCGCAGCTTTAGTTAACTTAGCTAGAAGGTAAAACAGATTTTCTAATATATTTAATGTAAAATACTAATCCGATTCAATTTCCGTAGGTTTGAAATAAAATCGATCCGAGGTACATCCTATGTACGAGGTATTCTACTGTCATTCATCATGTTTACAACACGTATATCTATATTCGTGTCTGTACTAACATACGTTCTCGCCGGTTACAATATTACTGCTGAACAAGTTTTCGTTCTTACATCCTTCTACGGCATATTAAGACAAAACATGACCGTTTTCTTTCCGCAAGGTATAGGTCAAATGGCCGAAGCTTCGGTGTCCGTCAGAAGACTTGCTGAATTTATGATGTACAACGAAAACAGCAACGTCGAGAAACAAGTGGAAATAGTTGATAAAGATAAAGTGACCATAAATGGAACCACGACAATTACACCGCCATCTCAGACTGGTGTGTTTGTTAAAAATTTGACTGCGAAATGGACTTCAGGACCTGGTGACAATACTCTGCAAGATGTTAGCTTTACAGTAGAACCCGGTCAATTGGTAGCAATTATTGGTCCGGTTGGTGCAGGTAAAACCAGTCTTCTTCATGCTATTTTGAGCGAACTACCACTTCTGAGCGGTTCCGTTGATGTTAATGGAGAGATTAGCTACGCTTCTCAAGAACCCTGGCTTTTCGCAGGAACAGTACGACAAAACATTTTATTTGGTCAACCCTTGGATAGGGTTCGCTACAAGAAAGTGGTTAAACGGTGTGCGTTGGAAAGAGATTTCCAACTGTTTCCATACGGTGACAAGACAATTGTAGGAGAACGAGGTGTATCACTTAGCGGTGGCCAAAGAGCTAGAATCAATTTAGCGCGCGCCGTCTACAAACAAGCTGATATCTATTTGATGGACGATCCCTTGTCTGCCGTTGATACTCATGTGGGCAAAGAACTATTTGATAAATGCATAGCAAGCTACCTGAAAGAAAAGACGTGCATATTGATCACTCATCAATTGCAATATTTGAAGGAAGTGGATCATATAATTATATTCCAGGGTGGAAAAATTCAAGCGCAGGGCAACTACAAAACCCTACAAGAATCTGGCTTGGATTTTGCTTCCGTTCTACAAGATGAGTCTACAGAAGTAGCAGACGAACCACAAGAACTCACAAAGACCATATCTAGGCAAAACTCCATAGCGAGTATAAATTCAGAAACGATTGATGTGCCAAAACAAACGGAAGAAAGTAAACAAGCTGGATCCGTCGGTGCTTACGTCTACAGTGCCTATTTCAAAGCAGGTGGTAACTGTTGCGCCATCTTCTTTCTATTCTTTATGTTTATATTGGCCCAGATCGCGGGCAGTGGAGGAGACTATTTTATCACATATTGGTAATTACTTTATTCAATTATCTTTTGAAATAATGTGTAGTTACATGAATTTATTTTAATTATAGGGTCAATATGGAACAACAAAAAAATGGTACATTGGAATCAAGCAATTCTGAATTATTCGTTTTTGACACAAATACGTGTATTTACATATATTCAGCCATATCAGTACTTACTGTAGTATTTACTTTAGGAAGATCTTTGATGTTTTTCTTATTATGTATGCGCTCTTCCACCAATCTACATGACAATATGTTCCAAAGTATAACACGTGCCCCCATGCATTTCTTCAACACGAATAGTTCAGGAAGAATTTTAAATAGGTTTTCGAAAGATATGGGCGCGATTGATGAACTCTTGCCAGCAGCTTTGATTGATTGCCTACAAATAGGATTAGCCCTGATTGGTATAATCGTCGTGGTAGCAGTGATCAGTCCGTATCTTATGATACCTACTGTTCTTATTGGCATCATTTTCGTTTTCCTAAGGAAATTTTACTTGGCTACAGGACGAAGTGTGAAGCGTCTCGAGGGAGTTAGTAAGTTATTTTGTTTAAACTCAAGCATATCTTCTATAATGGTATATTTTTAAATTTAGCGAGAAGTCCTGTTTTCGCCCATTTGAATGCTTCACTGCAAGGTTTGACAACGATTCGTGCTTTCAAGGCGCAAGATGTCCTACAGAAGGAGTTTGATTCGCACCAGGATCTACACAGTTCTGCATGGTTCTTATTTTTGAGTACCTCTAGAGCATTCGGCTTGTGGTTAGATATTGTATGTGTAGTATATATAGCCGTTGTTACAATAAGCTTTTTAATAGGCGATGCAGGTATTTATAGAATCAAACGTAAATTAACGTGCGAACTAAAATATTGGTTTTAAATTATTTTTAAGATGAGTTTGGTGGAAACGTCGGTCTTGCTATTACCCAAGCAATTGGTCTAACTGGCATGTTCCAATGGGGCATGAGACAATCAACAGAACTGGAAAATCAAATGACGTCCGTGGAACGCGTACTGGAGTACAGCAACTTAGAATCAGAGAGGGAGTTGATAACTCCGCCGGATAAGAAACCTAAAAAGGAGTGGCCTGAACATGGAGAAGTTAAATTCTCAAAGTTATATCTTACTTATAACCCGAACGATCCTCCAGTGTTGAGAAATCTTAACTTCGTTATAAAACCTAAGGACAAAGTCGGAATCGTCGGCAGAACTGGTGCAGGAAAATCATCCCTGATCGCTGCACTCTTCCAACTTACAAACACCGAAGGATCTATATTTATCGACGACGTCGATACTAAATATTTGGGATTGCACGACCTCAGATCAAAAATATCTATCATTCCGCAAGAACCAGTCTTGTTTTCTGGGACAATGCGCAAGAACTTGGATCCCTTCGATGAATACGATGATGATGTTTTGTGGAAAGCTCTAAGTGACGTTGAACTGAAAGACACGGTCAATGACATGGCTGCTGGCCTAAATTCCGAGATGTCTGAAGGCGGTTCCAATTTCAGCGTTGGCCAAAGACAGTTAGTCTGTTTAGCAAGAGCTATAATTCGCAACAACAAAGTACTTGTACTCGATGAGGCCACAGCTAATGTCGATCCACATACCGACGCCTTAATTCAAATGACAATAAGAAGGAAATTTTCCGAATGCACTGTACTTACCATTGCACATAGATTGAATACAATTATGGACTCTGATAAAGTATTGGTTATGGATGCTGGTACGATGGTTGAATACGATCATCCGCATCTTCTCCTGCAGAATCCGAAAGGAGTTTTGTATGGTATGTTAGAACAAACTGGACGAGGGATGAGCGACAACCTAACACAAGTTGCGAAAAAGGTAATGATAAAAAAAATGCATTTATTAAAATGTGACTAATTTTCCTGGTTTTTTTTTATTTTAGCATTACAATGAAACAGTTCACAAGGAAGAACCAAGCTCTTCTACCTAACTATATATTAAGTGACGATCGAAGACGTATATAGATCTCACATTGATGTAATTCGTGCCGATTCTAAAGAAATGTTATATACATATTTATTGAATGTATTTTTAAGATGAAAACAAAAAGTGATCCTTACATTTTTAGCCTTATAACATTGTTGGTAATTAAAAAAAATAATATATATTAAATATTTTGTATTTATATTTTATTCACTGTTAGTATAATAGTAGAATATTTTATTATAAAAGGTTCGTAAAAAATAATATCTATTTAAACGCCCCTATTGGGCAAATCCTTCACCTTGTAGATGCGTACCAACCAATGTTCAGTGGTGTAAGCTTCTTCCAAGACATCCAGTTCGAAATCTTTATTGCCAATTTCTGCGCTTCTGACTCTATCATAGCCCGGTGGTTTTCCACCTAAAATAATAAATATACACATATAATATGGATGGGATAAACTATTGATTAATTTATACCTTCAGTATAGACTTGCCCGAATCTGTAGTAGCACATTTTGTACATCAAACAGTTCAGTAAAGTAGGTGACCCATCTTTATCAACTCGGAATTCTCCGTTTGGTGAATAATAATCCCATTCCTTAATATGTGCGCCCTTATCAGTGCTTCCACCTTAAAAAAAAAGTATATAAATTCAGCTAAAATTCATTTTTTGAAATGTAAAATTACCAATTCGAACCATCCAAAGGAACTTGTTAATATCATCCGACGAGTAACCAGTCAATCCTCCGAAGATAACCAACACATAATCGACATCCAACTCTTTCATAATCTCGTAAGCTTTCTCTTCTGAACTGGCCATAGCTTGACCAACTCTACTAATATGTGTATTATTCCAAGTGTTGTTATCCACGAGAATAGTTCGGTTCGCCATCGCGGTAATCTGATAACCGTAATCCCACCAAGACATGATCTTAGCATCTTCCGGTGTATTCATTTTCAACCAATAATAGGCTTCACGGAAATCATCGAAAATAATTCTACCACCGTCGTGAGATCTTGCGCTCAACACAATTGAAGGCGCACTGTATGCCTCGGATGTGACCCAAGTGCAATGGAACGTATACGAAATAAGGAGCAAACAAGTGATTCCGATGAACGTGAGCGATATTTCGTTTTTCAAGACAAAATTCGATTCCAATTTCTTTGGTCTCTTATGCTCGTGAGCGTGTGGCTTAGCTCCATCCGTGTTCTTCATGAATTTCGTTAGTAAATGAGACACTGCTATTCCACTCAAAATACACATGACCGGTGCTAAAACCAACATCAGCCTGACCATTACACCCTAAAAAATGGAATTTATGCAATAGTTTCGACTACGAGTAATGTTTGTGTGTATAGTTACCGCAAAGTAGATACTAGTAACACCGTACAATATCAAAAATATGTTGGCATCTGTTAGTTCTTTGAAACAAAAGTACAGTCCTGCTGGGAACAAGAATACCAAAATTTGCAGATCGAAATAAAAGGAACTCCAAGACGTAGGTTGATGTTCCGATACTGATGCGATAATAGGAATGTGATTCTTAGCGTAAGATGGATCAAGAAGGGAGTAAAAACGTCCGGTCCACGGTGAAATTTTGCCGGAGAACGTTAAAATTCCAACCAATAAAAGTAAACAGGATCCGACTGTGTACAAAAGTGTAACAAAGAGCGTTTCGAAATCCTTTTCGCTCATTTTACTCTTCAAGTAATCAATACCACCCATAATTTGACACAAGCCGAAAACGCCGAGAGCCTGCAACGAGTACTATCAGTAACTGTTCAAAAAATATGTAAAGTAACTTAACATACAAGCATGTGTTCTGAGCTTTGAACTGGCTGAAAACCGACAAACGAGATCTGCATCGACAGAATTGTTCCAACGCAGTAAAGCGTGCTGTAAGCAACGTAAATCCTATGCGAAAACCTGCCGGTAATCATCAAAACCAATACGTGCAACGGAATCAAATTGATCAAAAATACATATCCTCCCCAAGATGAAACCTAAAATATTAAGTTAAATGCAGAAAATATGTATTTATACGTATTTACCATGTAGAAATATGCTAAAGCAGCCAATGTTCCCCAGAAAATGGTTCCAGTTTTCACAGCCTTTATCCACATGTAATATGTCAACAACATGCAGAAAATAGCAATAGCTTCATTATCGTAACTTCCAGCCACAGAGCGGCTGATGTAACCGGGTACAATGGATACCATTGCGGCGGCCACCAAACCGGCAGATGCATTTTTAATCTCTTTAGTTAACAGGTATGTTATGATTGTCGTAAAGGACGAAAACAATGGGGCAAGAAATACGCACACATTACGTATATCAATGGTGATATTCAAAAACCAACAGAGATGGTACAAAGCAGCAGATGTTATCATCAAGCCCGGGTAAATGGTACCTGAGAATATGATTGATTAGAGTCATTAAGAACTTGGAAGATATCCAGTATTTACCTCCTATGATACGCCCCAATGGGTACCATGCTCTATCATCAAACCAATTGTGAAAAGAATAGAAGCCTTGCTCTGCTAAATACTTGGTAGTGCGGTAATTAAAATATGGATCAAATTCATGAATGACACTTTCAAATCTTAATACTGAGAATAATCTTGTAGCAAATGCTGAAATTATCCATTATCAATAAATTGTTAACTTTGACAATTAAAAACCATTTTTGCTTACATAAAATTGCAGCCAAAGTTAATATAGATAATGTTAATAATGTTTCTTGTTTATCTGCTGTAGTAGAGGTACTTTTCTTGTTAAGACCAAACATCCTACAAAAAAAAAACGGAATATTTAACAATGTGCATTATTTTGATTAAAACTAAATTTATAATCATATATGTTTTATTAATTTCTAGTTTGATTAACGTTCGTTTATATTTAGATAACACTTACTTTGGAGGTTACGAGATTCGAATTGGATAAATTTGAGACTCCTCCAACTAATATCACAACTACTTTAAACAAAACTAATTGCTAATTAATTAAATTTCAGATTTTTAAGAACAATTATTTATTAAGAATAAAACAAAATCATTTTAGCTAAGAAAACGCCACATAGACCGGCTTGACAATCTTTGACAACTATGAATTTAGCATATAGCCGCTTCCAGCAATGTTGACAAATTTATTTCAAACACCCACTTTTTTTTATCGATTATTCTATAAACAACGAATAAAATTATTAAATATTTACTCACTTCCTATTATAATTTGTAGTCCTTAATTGATCGTTAAAAAATTTCGTATATAATTGAAATTATATACGGTTAAAAAAATCAAAGGTATTACAACTTGGTTGTTTTGGAAATTTGACAACGTTTACATTGATAGGTTATATACTGCAATATTTTGATATTAAAATCTATTGAAAATGTCCGAGAATAAAAGTAAAAAAACAAAGGTAATAATCATTAAATGTTCAATCTAATTATTTGTAATGTTTCAGTGACTCCGGAATTTGAATTCTGTGTACCTACAAAGAGAATTAAAGTGCCTGATGATATGGTCTTGTGGGAAAATTCTATGGGGTACCAAGTAAATAATCATTGTTTATATAAAATTAACTGGTTTCATATTGATGCGTTTCAGGAATACATGGGATTCATTTTAGCTATAAATGAGGCGGTCAAGGGAAAATCTTTGAAGTATGAAATTGATGAACCATCTGATGTCATCAATAAATTGGTTGCTGTTCTTGATAAACTCATTGAAATTATAGTCGAAACACCAGCAATAAATCAACCACAAAGGTTTGGAAACCAAGCCTTCCGCATTTGGTTGGAAAAAGTGAAGCAGGTACAATAGACAGATTTCTTATTTGAAACAAACGTGTCATCACTATGTAAATATGTTTTCAGCAATCTTTTAATTTGATTAAAAGTGTTCTTCCTGAACATTTGCACAGGAGTTTAGCAGAAATCTTGGCTTACTTCATGGAGTCTTTTGGAAATTCTGTGAGGATTGATTATGGAACAGGACATGAAATTAGTTTCATCATGTTTCTATGCTGTCTGTTCAAAATGGGTGCCTTAAACGATGATGATAAAATCTATGTAGCCAACAAAGTTTTTCACAAGTAATGTAAAACAAATAACGTTATAAATATTTTTCTAATACTTTTTTTTTAAAGATATTTGGACTTGGTGCGCAATTTACAACAGACTTATAGGATGGAACCTGCTGGAAGTCATGGTGTATGGAGTTTAGATGATTATCAATTTGTCCCATTCATTTGGGGCAGCTCCCAGCTCATAGGGCATCCAGTGTTTGAACCCTGCTCCTTCTTGGAACCCCTTGTTGTAGAATCTTTCTCTGACGAATACATGTTCTTGGGATGCATGAAATACATAAATGCAGTAAAAACTGGACCATTTGCAGAGCACTCCAATCAGCTGTGGAGTATCAGTGGGGTAGCCAGTTGGGCTAAGATTAACAGTGGCCTTGTGAAAATGTACAAAGCTGAGGTAAATTGCTTAATAATTCGTATGGTCGAATGGTTTAAATTAATTAATTTCTTGTAGGTGCTTGGTAAATTTCCGGTCGTCCAACATATATTATTTGGATCTATGTTACCATTGACACCGTTCGTTAAGGAACCATCCAATAGAATAGGAGCTGGCTTCATGGGAATGACGAAACCTCCCGAGCAGTCTGACGTACACATTTCCAAAATGAATTAAATTTTGTTTTACAATTTTGTTTGCGTTGCTTTATTTAGTTTAAAGTTAATTACAATATAGTAAGTTAATATTAAAAACATATAATGTTTCTTTATTATTTATTTTATGTTGGTTTTAAATGTGATATTGTAATGTGTCTTTGTTTTATATGGCGATTCGAAATTGTTGCTTGAAAAATATATAAAAATAATTTTATACAGTACGAATGGAAGTAAATATATCAGAAATTACCGGCTAGTTCATTAGTTATTTAACCCCTATACTTCACTTTATTTGTACTTAAATAACTACTTAAGTCAAATTGTAAATATCATTCGAACTAAAATATGTAAATAATTATTCCTAATTCTAATGCTTGTATCTGAATATCCAAGTAAGTTTAGATAAGCTACAATAATGGTTTATTAAATGGAGAATAGCAGTTAACGAAATGAAATGCATATTACATTCACGCTAAATAAAGACACCTGTCCAACTGTAAAACTTAATGCACAAGATCTGCCTAAAGCAACAAAAGTCAAATATCTAAGCAAACATCTAGACAGAAGACTCGCCTGGAAAGATCACATTCAGGCTAAGAGGGAGCAATTAGAAATAATGTTTAGAAAACTACTGGCTTCTGGGGAAAAGGTCGGAATTATCAGTGGATTACTTTGTATATAAGTAATAGTGAAACCAGTATGGACGTATGGTGGGGTGCAGCCAGTAAACATACAAATTATAGAAAGGTTCCAATCAAAATGTCTAAGAAATACATATAGTAGTAGATACCAAGATAGACTGGAGTCACATACTAATGTTGTGGCTATTAGCCTACTCGATAACAGTGAAACCACAAACAGGTTGAAGCGTTGCAAATCACTAGATTTAAATAATTATCAATGTTCAAAATCATCATAATGGTAACTATCCACCTGGAAAGCTTATCCATTTAATATTAACCGCGATCTTAAATTTACTCAATGTTCACATTGTGAATAAAATTGTTACGACATAAAATTCTAATGCTTTAAAAGGAAATTATGAATATTAAATTACACTGTACAAATATAATTGTCAGATTTTGGGTATTTGCAAACGTAATTCTACTTTTGACCTTCATAATATAATTTTTCGTTCAATAGCTTAACATTGCTAAATAATGATAATTAACAAAAACAAGTGCAACTCAATGTCATTAGACAATACATAAAACTTTGGATGAATGACGACTACTTTAGAAGCATATACTATTGTCATACTTTAAAGATGTCACTTTTCTTTTCGCAACAACTAATTCTACGCACATATTACTATTTTATTTAGATATATAGCCTTATATATGACATTTATGATGAACATCATTTCATTAAACACTCCTTTTAGATAATAATCGATAACACCTACATCATTCGATCATATAAGACTTGTAAGTGTAGAAATTGCGCATGAATCACGTACCAAAATTAGGATCTAAGTTTTTACTACAAAATAACCAGGAATACAGGAAATTGATATCATTTAATGATAAATCACCACGAAATATACGTAAGATGAGCGTGCGTATCCGTATTTCATTGTTGTTCAATTCTGATAATATAAATAATGTAAGTTCTATTAAGATAAGCTATAAATGATTTATCTTAAAATACGAATTGTCTGAGATCATTTGTAATCTACGTTGTTTCTAAAAACCACTTGAAAATGTTGTTAGTGCAAGTTATTCACAAACAATAAATCCTTCAACTAAATAATCTAGTGTTAAACTTGTGGAAGCAATTAATAATCAAATCTGGTTTAGATACATAATGACTTGATTTTAAAGTTTATTTACGATCACTTCTGTTTAAATATTTACTAAATACTTAAGACTGTTATTTAGATGCAGAATTTTTTTAAAAATTTTAATTCATTCATTGTGCATAACACCTTGGAATTTAATCATTTGTGAAACTAATTGTATGCAGGATTCACGCAATCAAATGATAATCAATTATTTCGTGCGCAATGCACATTAAAAATGATTGATTCATGCAACAGGTTAACATTTAATTATGCACACTCACAAATACATGAAATGGATTTTTGATTGCCGCAAAAAAATAAACGAATTATTATATTTACAATGTTTTCTTTATTAAATAGTAATAAATACCCGTATCATCAATAATTTATAAATTTTACAATTACAATAGAAATAAGATAGGAACATGTAAAACTCATAGTTAATTATGAGCTGAAAACATAAATTTCATTAAAATAAATACTTTTTACAAAATAAAAACAGTATTAAATACGAATAATACATTGTTGGTATTAAATATAGGAACTTCTGGTATTCACTTGAAATTTAAAATTTTAGATTCATCCACTGAAATGATTTATATTGATGTATTTCAGTTGAGTTTTGTGTTGTTTGCTGTGCTTCTTCGGTTTCGACGTTTGGTTTTTCGAAATAATCTTGTTGTTGTTGCCGATGGATGTGACCAAGTCTTTAGTTACACTGTCACCAAGAAATATACTGCCATTGTTTCCAATATACTTGATTCTTCCAGAGCCATTGGCCACATTGAGGGTGCATTCATCACCAATCACTTGGACACTCAATTCGTTGCTCTCTAAACTGATGCTGTTGTAATTTCCAATCACCACCAAATTCGAGGTATTATTTTTCAAGTTGATTTCTTGATTGTTGCCCATCAGAGGTGCGGTTTGGGATGCTGCTTTGGCACTAGACTCACTCATTTTTACGACCATAATGCTTTGTGGAAGATTCAACTGAACTGCAACTACGGAGTCTACAACCAAGTATAACTTTTTGAGCGGCGCGCACTCCTGTTTTATCCAATTCGAATTTCGGTACTTTCCCTACGATCGGCAATCATCGTTCATACCAGTTCACACTCCGTTATGTGTTTTCAAGTGTGCATATTTACGTTTCCGGCAGGGGATTTACTTTCGCGTTTACATTGAACATTTCGTAATTTCAAACCGATCGCGCCGACGTTTACCTACACAATTACACTGTTAATCTCACTCATATTTGGATTTTTCAAATTTCTTCATTCTTCCAACAAATTATTTAAAGACAACGTATTTACTCAATTCGTTCTACCGCGAACGTAACAACAACAAAAAAATTGTTACGTTTCGTCAATTAATATTTTGTCCAGACCAAAATTGCGATGAACTTTGCTCCGAAAAGTGGCAACAATCTACTTGAAGTTTGACCTTCGCAAAACGAGTTTGCATGTGCATACCCATGGATGATTATTTATTTAAAAATGAAATTATCTATACAGTAATTAGAAACAAAGTAAGGGGAATCCATTACGTTTGTAGAAAAAACTATTGACGTCGTTGTGTATTGATTAAAACGATAAGTCGGGAATTATATTATCACATTCAAGGATTAATTCTTTTCACATGGAAAATCCACCATGTATGGAGTGTCCATACAATAATATACATATTTGAAGAAAATCCGAAATATATACCTTGTTATTATTACATAATTTAGATGTGATGTGTAAATTTAATTATCGTTTTCTGAGAATCATCGCACGTTAATGTTGTGGCCACATTTGCGGATGTGCGATTTTTTTCAACATTGTCTTCGATAATTTTGTATGATTAATATACGATTATATACTTAATCTAGATCTCGGGTAAAATGGATTTTCCTTTTTTTATTTTAAATGTACATAATATAATTCTATAGAAAACGTGTTTGTGGTTTACACGAGATCTTTACTTCGCCGAAACTCGTATAAAAGAAGTGAGTCACTAATGAAAATCTACCCATTATTACATGAATTGGAAAATAACGCAATACATGTTTTATTAATATATTAAATATAGTCCAGTATTTCAATTTACAATTCTCTTATAAAGATATAAAACCTAGACTTTTCTGACAATTTATATAAAATTTAAGTTATTTATATGTATATTTTCAGTAATTAGATATAGTAGAAAAACGTAATAATACTAAGTTGAATGAGTAGTATATGCGACCTACTTTAGTGACCCAAGAGTATTTTAGTCAAAAGAAACTTCCTGTAGATGATTTACTTATTGAAATGTAAGATTGAAATAAGCGCGTGAGGAAACAAATAAAATGAATACTTCTATTACTACATTGCAAAGACCTTGTATTTGGCCCGCATATTATTGACAAATGTGGCCTTGATATTTCCATCAGCTTAAGGTAGTCAATGTTTTCTTAGTTGCCATGAACTCTAAATTATGTGTAACGCATGAATCAATGGCCTAATCTTCTCTTTGGCTTATTTAACATATTTTGTAGTGACAACAAATATCAATGGGTTTTTCGTAAAAGAAGTTTAATTTGATTAAGTAAAAGTGTTAACAAACAAATTAATTTTATCTATATGTTACAATATGTTGTAATAATGATAATATTTATTTACCAAGAGAGGTTTATAGTGGAAAATATAAATTACTTTTGTATGTTAAATGTACCAAAATCTTGTAATTATTAAAACTTATGAATAAATGCTAGTAATTTTGTAATATTTGAATTTTAAAGATATTAATGTACGCCATCTAGCTACATATGGAATATATTGAACCGATAGATGTCACTACCAACAGTAAGAGTTAGGTAACATACGGTTATTAAGTCCATGCTGAGTGTAATGGATGGCGCAGCTTGTAACATCCGAAAGGATTGGAATGGAAAATTACTGAGGGATTAGTAATGCGTTCTAAGTAGAATATTAATTATGTAAATTAAAGCGTATCGTACTATTGAAGGTCGCTGAGAATAACGTGAAATAAAAAAAAGAGAATGATTCGAGAGAGAGAATAGTTACGAAACATGAATTGTATTCGTTCGTTCGGTAAAGGAGAATCATCGGAGGCAGATCGAGTTTTAAAAGATTATTTGGATTCTTGATACGCAGCGAGAAACAATTACAATCGCACATTCGTGTGTATTCCAGTATTTGAAAGTCAACGACCTGGACGGAAAACTTCTTGCATCTGCGATCGGATTGCGTAACGAGACGAGATGAACGGCGTTACGAGCGGATCCGGCGAGGGAGGATGAAAGAATGCCCGCCCTTTTTCGCCCTGCACCGCATTTTGGCGCCGTTTTTTTTGTTGTTGTTGTTGTTGTTTCGTGACCGAAGAAACGACCACTCGTTGTTGATTCGAGAAAGTTACGCAAGTCGAAGAGTTCGTGGTTCCCTTGCGGTGCTTCGCTTTTGCGTTATCTCTATAAATAAAATATTAACACAAGTATCGATTTCTGTACTTTCCCCAGACACTTTTTTTTTGTATACCTTCCGACCGCGATCCAAAGGAAATTGTTTTTATTAATGGATCCACAACCACAGTAACCAAGAGTCTATACTCATTCCATTAAGGGTTCATCTCAATCTCTTCTTTTCTCAATGAAAATTGTTACAATTTCCATTTCACACAAAAATAAGAGCAATCATAACATGATTATTATAGAAAAATATTTATAAAATATGCTTTAAATTCTCTATAAATTTTAAATTTAATCAAATTTATTAATAAACAAATTAGACTAAAAAAGTTCTTGTGCGAAATAAATAAAATATAACAATAATATGTATTATATAATTATAAATTTGTTTATTTTTACAGTGATACTCTGATGGATATAAATCATAGAAAGTCAAAATAAGCAAGTTTAGTTTTCTTTCGTGAAAGCGTTCAGTTGTAGAAAGCAGTATTGATTTAATGCAAAATCGTCGGTTCGCTCGTTATATAAAACTTAATATTGCGTTCTGCGCTCTTTTCAATATAAATAAACACAATATTATTATTATTATTTAAAGATTAGTAGTAACACGACGGGCTATTATTAGTGTAAATAAATCAATAATCGATTGAAAAAAATGTATCGATTTGTGATAAAAGAATTGATTGTGATGGGTTCAATTACAAATATTATTATGAGAAGGTTTACAATGAAGATTTCAAGATAGTTGCCTCCACAGCCGAAACATAATAAATCCGCGCTCGATGAAGTTATCATATTAAGTGGGTTACGTTCTCCCAGGCGGTTAATCTTCGCTACTAATAAGTTACTGCCAATGTCTTAACACTTTATATGATTTACAAAGATATCGCATATGAGAATCACTATATGAAATAAATCATTGACGATAGAAAAATAGTAAACATCTGTCTGTTGAATATCTATACAAAACTCGAACTTTTAAAGATTTTGTATTAAAAAATAAACTATAATTAACATAATAAGCGGATTAGCTTTAATAATTATCTACATCAGCGTATCTTAACACATTTGTTTGTAGTTGTATAGCCCAATGCATTTCACAAATTCATCGTTTTGACATAGAGTGACATATGTCAGTTCAAATTTAGAACTTATAAAGATTTAATTTAAAAAATTTACTCTTAATAACTATAATAAACGCTTTAGCTTTTATGATCATCTACATCAGCGTTTCTTAATCTGTTTTGTCGCGCGATCCAACATATTTGTTTGCAGTTGTAGAACTACATAATGCATTTCACAAGTTCATCGCTGTGACACAAAGTGATATCTGTCAGTTCACAATATCTGTTCAAAATTGGAACTTATAAAGATTTAATTTTAAAAAATAAACACTAATTACTATAATAAACGCTTAACTTTTATGATCATCTACATCAGCGTTTCTTAACCTGTTTTTAACGCGTGACCTAACATATTTGTTTGTTTACAACTACCTAATGCATTTCACAAGTTCATCGCTTTGACACAAAGTGACATCTGCCAGTTTACGATGTCTGTTCAAAATTAGTACTTATAAAGATTTAAGTTTAAAAAAATAAACTATAATTACCATAATAAGCGGATAAGCGTTTATGATCATCTACATCAGTGTTTCTTAATCTGTTTTGCCGCGTGATCCAACATATTTGTTTGCAGTTGTACAACTACACAATGCATTTCACAGGTTCATCGCTGTGACACAAAGTGACATCTGTCACTTTACGATATCTATTCAAAATTAGAACTTATAAAGATTTAATTTTAAAAAATAAACACTAATTACTATAATAAACGCTTAACTTTTATGATCATCCACATCAACGTTTCTTAACCTGTTTTTAACGCAGGACCTAACATATTTGTTTGTTTACAACTACCTAATGCATTTCACAAATTCAAAGATTTGACACAAAGTGACATCTGTCAGTTCGCGATATCTATTCAAAATTAGAACTTATAAAGATTTAATTTTAAAAAACATACTACTTACTATAATAACCGGTTCAGCTTTTATGATCATCTACATCAGCGTTTCTTAACCTGTTTTTAACGCGTGACCTAACATATTTGTTTGTTTACAACTACCTAATGCATTTCACAAGTTCATCGCTTTGACACAAAGTGACATCTGTCAGTTTACGATATCTTTTCAAAATTAGAACTTATAAAGTTGAACACCCAATGTTTTTCAATAAGTCATCGCTTTGACACAAAGTAACAGCTGTCATTTTGAGACCGAGTAATAAAAAAAATATGAAACCCTTAGTTTGAGAAACACTGATCTTTAAGAAAACAAGTCCACTCTTTATCAAATATTAATTTATCTTGGGTACGCATGATTCACATCATATTATTCATGTGACTTATCGTAATTTAAATAAAAATATATATTTTCAAACATATTTATGTAAATTCAAACATAAGTTTTAAAAATTGAAAATATGCAAAATTAATAAACTTTTTATATAATATTATCATATATTGAAAAAAAATATAGAATTTATTCTAAATTATGAATTGTTTAATAACCTGCAATAAATATAGTAATTTTATTACTAGAAAGGTGAACGTGAACTATGCCAGGTAGTAACATAAAACGCTACGATATTAAATATTTTA